GCTGCCCCCCCGGAGGACGGGGACACTGACACAGGGAAGGTGCCAGGTGAGGCCGGGGGCGGTGGACGGGCAGAGGCAGAGGAGGGACCCGGGGACGAGCCGAGGTGTAGCTCTGCTGGGAAGAGGAGAGGAGACCCCGGAAGGGATCGGGCTCAGGGGCCGCTCAGGAGAGTTACTGGGGCACAACGGACGGACGTTCGCAGGACAAACGCGGGAGCTCCTCCGGGTTTCTCCCTTGGTCAGTCTGCATTCGTCAACATCTTTACCTGGTTGCCACTGGGGGCGGGAGGTTATTTCAGTTTTAATCTCAGTAACTCAGACGAGGGCTGTTACTCTTGTCCCCATTTCCCCCCTTGGGGGGAAGATCGGGAGCTTCTTGCCGAAAGAAAAATTAAGTGGCAAGCTGAATAAATAATGAAACAGCAAACGACTACTGCTTAATTTTTCATGGTGCCCTGCACGCGTCCGCAGGTGAGAGGGGGCTCCTTGCGCCGTGCTAGCCAACAAGGCCACCAGGGGGCGCGCGGTGGTGGGCGGCGTCTTCCCGACCACTGGGGCGTCGTTTGAAACAGGGGAGGCTGCAGTTCATCTCCTGTCCCTGTTCATTGAAGGGAGACGTGCGCGCCCAGGACGACACCTCCCAAGACTTGGGGTCTGGGCTCCGCCCCCGGAAGACGCTGGTCAGTTCAGCTGCCATCTGTTTCGATTGCCACTTCCAGGACGGTGGCATGGGCGTCCCTCCCAGAGGAGACCCGGGCACATGCAGAGGTTTGTCACACGCACTCACACACATGCTCACACCCCTACATGCATGCTGTCACACATGCTCACGCTTACACTCACACAGCGTACGCTCACATTCGCACACTCACACTCACAGGGTGGAGGGAGGCCCCCCACACCAGCACAGGCCGCTCTCTCCCCGGGGCTCCCAGGGCACAGAAATGCCGGCACTCCACCTGCCTCCTGCACCCTCTGCCCCCGGTCCGGCCCCTGCCTGTGGGAGCAGCGGCCCGCCGACCTCAGTCGGAACCACCCCCCATTCAGGACACCTGCTGGCCTCGTGAGTGGTGGCAGCTCCCTCCTGCTACCACAGCATCACGACCCCAGGTCCCCTCGCCCCTGTCCACCCAGTCGGCTTGGTGGCTGCAGACAGGTGTCCTGGCCTGCTGCCACCCACAGACCCGGAGGCCTGAGCGAGCCAATCTGGACTCACGCACACCCTCCTTTCCAAAGGACAGCCCCCGGTACCTCGTGCCTGGGCCCAGGGCCTCGGGGCTGACGTGTAGTGGTGGCTTCAGCTCGGCTGCAGGAGAGCCCCCGTCCTGGCAGCGTGAGGTGGGGGCACATTCTCTCTGAAGGACTCTGGGAGCCAAGTCTGGGAGCAAGGCTGGTGGCCTGTCCTGGCTGAGTGTGTGCATGGCCCAGTCCTCAGAGGCCCCGTTCTGCCCCCTCCCCTGCTTTCCTGCTCGGCTGCCCTGTCGGGTGGGGTGTATGGCCATCCCCCCAGGCAGACCCGGGCACTGAGGCCCCTGGGCACTGGGCTGGCGCAGCCCCAAGGTCAGCACCTGCTGCCAGAGGGGGCTCGGCTTTGTTGTGGGCCTGCCCCAGCTGCAGGCTGAGACCAGGGTCCGACTCCAGTTTACCGGGAAGCTGTCTCGGGGAGCACTGTGGGGTAGAAGGACGGGAGACAGGAGGGGACGCAGGGGCTGCCTGGAGCTCTGTGCTGTTGGGACCCAGGCCAGGTGGAGAGCTGGGGGCAGAGCCCCCGTCCCGGCCCCCAGCAGCCTCCTCGAGGGGCAGTGGGGGCAGCCACGCAGCCTGGTGAGCAGAGAGGGGGTTCGAGCGGCCCAGAAGGTCATGGGGAGCCTCAGGCCCCAGAGGCGGGGAGGCCGGATGCTGAGAGTGGTTGCACATCCAAAACGCTCCCTCCCTCGTGGAAGCGGCAGCTCCCTCTCCAGGTGTTGCGTGGCCTCCAGGGCTGAGGGGACGCTCGGGCTGGAGCCGGTGCTACTCAGTAATGGGGCTCCGCGCACTGAGCCTTGCAGGACCCCAGGCCCAGCCTCTGAAAAGCAGAGTGCCACCAGGGCCACCAGGGTCCCTGCTCCAAGCTGGCCAGCTGTGCAGTGGGACCGAAGGGCCAGGCTGCTGGTCGGACGCACCTGACTTGTTTAGGCAGCGACACTCTCACGGCCCCAGGGCTGCTCCCCGCTCACTTTCCAGGTCCAGACCCTTGTGAACGGTCACCGAATGGCACACAAGTGGCCGCCTCTTCTGGGACTGCGCCCCCCGCCCCAGTCTCTGTGGGGGACTGGCTCCAGCCCCTGAGGACACCCAAATCCAGAGGCTCAAGTATTCGGTGCTGGCTTTGCATGTGGCCTGAGCACACCCTCCCGCCTACGAAGAATCACGTGCAATCTCGAGATGACCCCTAATGCAGTGTGAATAGTTGTTACACTGTGTTGTTTAGGGATCAACTCCGGAATTTTTAAAAAAATGTATTTTCACTCCTCAGTTGAATTCGTGATCATGGAACCCTCAGATCTGGAGGCAGGTGGCGCTGCAGAGCCTCACCACGGAGGAGCTCACTGGGCACAGAGACAGCATCACCGCTCTCAGGCTCAGGCTGGCTGACCCCGGTTACGGGGACCAGGCTGGATCTGGGGGCTCAGGGCTCTGGCCCAGGGCATTGGCTGGGTTGACTGTCTAGTCCCTTCTCAACCCCCATGGCCTCCTGGTGCAGGTCGGCGCTGCAGCCTGGACGCCCCAGGACGCCCACCCCTGGCACAGCTGCCCCACCTCATCCACCATCCAGGGCAGAGGCTCCAGAACAGCCCGGGCGTCACAGCATTGCCCCAAAAAGAACAGGGCCCAGGGGTCCTGGAGGGTGGATGAGGCCCCTGGGCAGGGCTCTGGAGACCAGGAGCCCGGGGGGTGCCCTGTCCCCACATTGGGGCTCACCGGCAGGACTTACACCCTGCAGGGCCTTGTGGGTGTGCAGGGCACCCACCGAAGGCCGAGCGCAGCCAGGAAATCAGGGAACAGAAGGCGCCCACCCCTCTGGGACTGGGTGGGTTGCCCCAGGACCGAGAGCACCTGGAGGGCAGGCCAGCACTGAGCAGAGCGGAGTCGGCACTTGGGTGCCAGGCCGGCAGGGTCCCGGCCGACAGCCCAGTTTGGTTGCCAACTTGGACGGGCCGACTGTGACAGTTTCTATTTCTAGCCAATCTGTGCAGCCCATCAGAGCCGGCTGCTCTCGGGTTTAACAGCCAGCTGCCTGCGGAGTCGCTGCTGAGAGACTAACAGGAAGTGCGTTTGCTGGTGGCGGGAGGGCAGTGGCCTGCTGAACAGGTGGCTAAAAATACCAGTTGGTGCCTCAGGGGGGCAGAGCAGCAGGTTATCAGGAGGCTGCTTCCTCCCCAAACGCACGGAAGGGCAGTCTCTGCAGACCAGCCTACCTCTCCATAGTCAGGGCCCTCCGTGTCAGAGCCCCGCCAGCAGAGGCAGAGGTCTGGGCACCGAATTACCCTAAAGCCGCCCCCCTGGGGCACCACCCGCGAGCACTGCCACACAGCCTGGGCTCCCCACTCAGCAGTGGGTCTGCCACAGCCCCCCCGACCTGGGCAGGTCCCTGACTTACCACGGACGGACAAACTCAGGCTCGGTGGTTCCTGGCCTGTATCTGCTCAGCGAGGAGCTAATGATGGAGCAGCCCGAACCTTGGGCTTCACCACAGCCTGCACCCGCCCCCACCTGCTGCGACCCATGGGCCCCATGCCCTGCCTGTGGGATGGAGGGAGTCAGCCTGGCCTCCTGGGCCAGCAGCAAGTGACCAGCCCTGGCCTTAAGCCCTTGCTGCGGGCGCCTGCTCTGTTCTGTGCCCTGCAGCCAGCGGGCCCAGCCGGGCCCCAGCCCTGCTGGCCAGGCCTCCCTTCCTCTCTGTCCCTTTGTCTTTCGCTTCTCACAGCTCACAACGCATTTCTCTGTACACGTCTGCTCCTGAGCCATCCCGGGGAGGGTGCATCGGGGCTGGCCACAGGCTCTCAAAATCGCATCAGTGTCCTGCATGCAAGGTCAGTGCATCCCCTGAGAGGTCAGTCTCGCCTCAGTCCCCCGCCCACAGTTCCTGGATCCCACCTTGACGTCCTGCCTGACCAGGGCCCCAGGAGCTTCTTCTGGGGGACCCCAGCAGGGCAGAGTGCAGGTGGGAGGAGCACTGAGCCTGTGCGCAGGCGGACTCTGGGCTCCAGGGAGTGTGCACCGTGTTCCTCCCCAGGGGTTTCCAGGGGCTCCTCCTCCACGCGGCTCCAGGCTGTTCTCCCCCCAAAAGCACGTGACTGCCCGTCTCCCCCACCCCGCCCACTTCTCCCCCCAAATCAGAGTCAAACCTTTGTTTCTTCCCACACGGACAGATGACGGGTGCCGGCTAGAGCATCGGGCCGCGGTTCCCTTATTGGGAGATTGTCACCCTGATCGCAGCGGCGCCCAGTCCCGGAGGCGCGCTCCGCCAGCGGGGTGTCTCCCGCAGGTCTGCGGGGTGGCAGCGGAGGTCAGCCCTCGGCCCCCAGCCAGCCAGCGTTTTTAGGGGTTGCCATCAGTCTTTCTTTTACAGTCTCTGAGCTTTGTGTCATGCGTACCCATTCCCAGACCAACAATTTTTCCGGTTACCTGCCTTTTCTTGGAATTTCTTGGTCTCCTTTGGTCCTTTCTTGGTCTGTTTAACCTGTTGATTCCTGTAGAGCTATCCCGGTGTAAGAGTGAGGCCGATGCCAGGTCAGCGCTTCGTTCCCTCACCCGTCAGAGCCGCCGGCTGTCCCCTGCTAAGGCTGTGGGGAACCCGGCCACCTTCGCGGATTTGCAGGAACCACCGGGGCTGGGCGGGCTACGGGGACTTCGCTTTCGGACTAGTGTGGCTTCGCTGCCGATCCGTAGTGCCAGTCCGCGTCCTCTGTCGCTAGGCAACCGCCGCGGAGCCGGTGAGACGAGCGGCTAAGCGGCTCCGTTGCTGCACCATGGACCCGGTCATCACGCAGGAGCTGACCCGCGCCGAGAGCCAGCAGGGTGCGCAGGCCCGGGGCGCCGAGACCAAGCCCGACCCCCAGCCTGTTGGGCTGGGGCGGCGGCCGGAGGCGGGCGGCTGCCCTTCCCTCCCCCGGGGCGGGGGGCTTGGCGGGAGCGTGAGTCGCCAGACGCGACCCCGTGGTGCGGCAGCGGGAGGGCGCAGCCCTGGGGCCGCTAGCCTGACCCGGGCTCCTGTGGGACGGTCTGCACGGTCCCCCGCTGCTCGGTGTTCACCGGCCATCCTCACCCGCTGTCCCGACAGATGTCGCCGCCCTAAAGAGGGCTTACGAGCTGATCAAGTCCGCTAACCTGGCCAAGTCCGAGTTCGACCCCAGCGAGAGCTTCAGCCCTGACCTGTTCGTTCTGTGCGCGGAGCAGGCCCTGAAGGTCGTGGCCCCAGGGCCCCTGGGCTGGGGGTCTGCCGGAAGCAGCAGGGGCGGGGGCGGGGAGGTGCCCCGAGAGACACTGCCGGGCCCCCCCCCCCTCCTCCGCACGTCCCCAGGGCACCGTGTGTTTACAGCGACCTGGCGGTGGTCTCCCGCAGATGGGGCAGCCGGAGGTGAGCGAGGACTGCATCCAGATGTACTTCAAGGTGAAGGGGCCCGTCACCCAGTTCCTGGGCCGAGCGCACCTGTGCAGGGCCCAGTTGTGTGCCCCCAAGTCCACGGACAATCTGGTGAGAGTGGGGCCCCTGAGCCACCTCCTGTGGTTTTGTCCCACTTCCTGTGGACCCCAGGCTTCCCCTTGCACCTACCCACCCAAGGGAAGGCGTCTGGCCACCTGTGCTTACCCCTGAGGCTGCCTCCATGCTCCTCAAAATTCCAATGGTCCATATTTTGTCCTCCTTCCAAAACTGTGTCTGGCTGCATAAATCTTAGATTTTTATCGAGAGTTCTGTTTCCTGTTGGTTTCCTACCTGAGTCCTCGAGTCCTACTTGCAGCCCCTTGGACTTTTGACCTGTGCCTCCTGGCGTCACGGCCGTGGCCTCACCAGCCGCCCCTGGGCCAGAGGGGAGCGTGCAGGGTGGAAGCCAGGGCTGCCTCTCGTCCGGCTCCTGCTGCGCACAGGGCTGCCGGGACGGCTCTGGCGGGCCCGGTGCTCACGGCGTAACCAGGAGCCACGACTGCTGACTGCTGCGTCAGCGGCAGCCTGGGTTTCCTCGTGCTTTATGTTTCAGGAGGAGTTTGAAAACTGTGTGACTCAGTACATGAAGGCCATCAGCTTCGCCAGAGGAGAACCCAGGTGGGCCTGTGTGGGAAGGTTGGGCCGGAGCCCACTGCCCGGTTCTCCGCTCGGACCATGGGGGTCGCTCCTGCTCTGTTTCTAATGCGCTTCAGTGTCACTCGCATCTCTAAGGTAGAGCTGGGCCGCAGAGACCGTCCCCATTGTTGTGCCCTCTGCTCTGACCAGTGGTTTCTGGGACCTGCAGGTGACCTTTGCCAGCTTTCTCCTTGGGCCTCTTGTCATCGGTTCCCTGGCCTCTTGGGGGCTCAGCGTCTCGGTTTCCTTCCTGTGCTGCCCCCACTGGCCGGTCCTTCACCTGGACCGAGGCCTCCTGTTTGTGGAGGTGATGGGGCTGAGACTCCAGCACAGTTTTCTGCCCAATTGACATTTGTTTCATCAAAACAAACATTCCTGGGACTTCCACCAAGATGGAGGCATAGGTGGAAGCACCTTGCTTCCGTGCACAACCAAATCTAAGAACAACTATTTTTAACAACAATAAACACAACCAAACCACACAGAAAATTGACAATACGGAGTCCAAAAAAAACCCCGAAATCCTCAGCTAAACTGGTAAGAGGGGCGAAGCCAGCAGCAGAGTGGGTTGACCCAAAAAGATCCCTGACCTGGTGGTGCGCAAGCAGCCGAAGGTGTGAATCGCGGGCTAGCTACGGGAGCACACAGGGAAGAGGTGCGCGGGCTGTCTGCGGTAGGTCGCGCATCTGCGTGCAGATAAACCAGTGAAGAGGCGAGCGTTGAGACCGCAGGGCGTGGGGCAGCAGGCTCGCACAATTCCAATCGGATAAACAGGCCCGGGCGAGTGGTGGGACTGGACGGACAGGGCTAGCGGAGAGGACCGCCATTGCTCCCTCTCTGACCCTGCCCCCACGCACAGCATCACAAACCAGCGACCTGGGTGGCCCCGCCCTGGTAAACAACTAAGGCTTAGCTCCTCTTACTTACCAGCGGGAACAGACCAAAAATGGCTCAAGAACAACTCAGAGCCCCAGAGCCAATAAATCTAAGTGATGAAGAAATAGCCAAACTTTCAGATGCACAGTTCAAAACACTGGTGATCAGGATGCTCACAGAACTGGTTGATTTTAGTCACAAATTAGAGAAACATATGAAGGCCAAACTAATTGAAATGAATGGTAATGGAAAGGAGACTGGGACTCAAATCAAGGGAGTAGACCAGAAGGAAGGGAAAAATGACCAAACAGAAAAGAATGAAGAAACAAGAATTCAAAAAAAATGAGGAGAGGCTTAGGAACCTCCAGGACATCTTTAAATGCCCCAACATCCAAATTATAGGGGTACCAGAAGGGGAAGAGGAACACCCACGAGTGGAAAACTTATTTGAACAAATAATAAAGGAGAATTTTCCCAATCTGGCAAAGGAAATAGACTTCCAGGAAATCCAGGAAGCTCAGAGAGTCCCAAAGAAGTTGGACCCAAGAAGGAATACACCAAGGCACATCATCATTATATTAGCCAAGATTAAAATGAAGGAGAGAATCCTAGAAGCAGCAAGAGCTAAGGGGACAGTCACCTACAAAGGAGTTCCCATCAGACTGTCAGCGGATTTCTCAAAACAGACCTTACAGGCAAGAAGGGGCTGGAAAGAGGTATTCCAAGTCATGAAAACCAAAGACCTATAATCAAGATTGCTCTATCCAGCAAAGTTTTCATTTAGAATGGAAGGACAGATAAAGTGCTTCTCAGAAAAGACCAAATTGAAGGAGTTCATCATCACCAAGCCCTTATTATATGAAATGTTAAATGGACTTACCTAAGAAAAAGAAGATTAAAAAGTTGAACAGTGAAAGGACAGCAAACTCACAGTTATCAACAACCACACCTAAAACAAAAGCAAATTAAGAGGACAGCTGGATCAGGAGTGAACCATAGAAATGAAGATCAGGTGGAGGATTAGCAACAGGGGAGTGGGAGAAGGAGAAGGGAGGAGAAGGTACAGAAAATAAGTAGCATAGACAGTAGATAGAAAATAGGGGGGAGGGTAAGAATAGTGGGGGAAATACAGAATCTAAAGAATTTGAGACACGTGTTCATGAACTAAAGGGGGAAATGGTGGGGGAGGGGTATGTAGGGTGGAGGGGAATGGAGGGGGGAATAGAACAAATGTAATGGCATAATCAATAAAAAAGTTAAAAAAAAACATTCCTGAAACGGTTAAGCCCACACACAGCCTCTTTAGACAGGATGCTGCAGTTAGAGGCGATTTCAGCGTAAACCCTGGGTTCGCTCGCACGCCATCCCACTGGCTGCCATTCGTGGCCTTCTTCAGCTGGCCCTGTACCGGGTCCAGGGGTGCAGCCCCTGGCCCTCCCTCAGCGGGGTCCTGCCGACAGGGAACCATGCCCAGCAGCCATGAAGCGGGGGCTGTGGGTGTCGTCATGGGGGGTCCTGGTCACTGCTGCACACCAGGGTGTGGGGGCACCTGCACAATGCCGGGTGGGGGGCCAGGAGCCTTGGGCGCTGTCAGGACCACCTTTAAAACAGACCCGGGTACAGCCAGGTGGAGGAGGAGCGAGCCTCTTGGTGAACCTGCAAAGGGACCAGCAGCCCTGTCTTACTCCTGTGCCCTGGGCCCTTCCCCTCCCTGGGTGACGGCGGTGGGCATTGCTCATCCATCTGAGGTCGGCAGAGAAGGCCGCCAGGCCCCCAGGCCCCTGCAAGGCAGAGCCCGCCCGAGGGGCCTGCAGCTGGAGAGTGAATCCACCCCTGGGATTCCGACCTGGCCTCCCTGCAGCCACAGGAAGAAGCCTGGCTTCCTAGGGGTGCCCTGACCTCCGCCACTTTGCATTTCCTGTTTTAAAATTTTTGAAAATTGTTACTCTATTACAGTTGTCCCAATCCCCCCCCCCCCCCCCCGTTGTTCTTCTTGGCCCAGCTCACCCCTGCTCCCACAGTCAATCCCCACACCGTTGTCCACGCCCATTGGTCAATCATGCATGTTCTTTGACTAGTCCCTTCCCCTTCTTTCCCCCAGTACCCACTTCCCTGTCCCCTCTGGTCGCAGTCAGTCCGTTCCCTGTGTCCTCGCCTCTGCTTCTGTTTTGTGCATTTCCTGTGCAAACACAGAGTCTGCTCCTGAAGGGTCTGCTCTCCCTCCTCCACCTGCCCAAGCCTCTTTCCACACTGCCCATCTGGGTGAGTCCTGCTCACTTTTCAGGTCTTGGCAGGATTCCACCTCCTCCAGGAAGCCTTTTTTGGTTCCCCCTGCTTTCGGCTCTTCTTGTCTATCCCTTGGGAGCCAAAAGAGGCCTTGCTCTGTGGTGTGTTTTCACGGGCAGCCGGTCACTGTGTGGAGCAAATGAATGAGAGAGGAGACCTCTGGTCTGGCACCGAGAGTCCATGGCTGGGTGTCCGTCGCTGGGGCTCAGCAGGAGGCACGGCCCTGTGCGAGCAGCCACCCCTGGGAGGCCCGTGCTCCTCTGCTTGCGCAGTGTGGGCCCTGCGTCTCAGAGGGGCTGCTGCCCTCTGGCGTGGACGAGGCCTCCCTGGGGAGGGCGGGGGCCAGGCTGTGCTGCTGGCCTCGTGGCAGATGCCTGCTCCCTGGTGCCGCAGGTACTACTTCCTGGTCTACAACGCGTCCGTCCTCTACTGGCAGATGGCCAGGCCCTTCCTCAAGCCCGGGTATCACCACCACCTGATCCCCAGCCTCTCCCAAATCGTGAGCGCGTTGACGCAGACCCAGGATGAGGACCAGGACTGGCAGGTGGAGCTGATGATGTGAGTGGAGGTGGCCTGCCTGCCCCTGTGCTGCCTGGTCCCCCCCCACCCCGTGCCCTCCCCAAGGGGGCAGTCACCCACAGAACAGGCACAGCCAGAGGATGGTTTTGGGCGAGTTGTCAGCAGGTGGAACGTGACCTTCCCAAGTGCCCCCAGTGACCATGAGCAGTGCCTCCTCGTGTCCCTGCTGAGCCCACCCGTGCGCCTGGGGTCAGGGGTCTGTGGACCAGGAGACCAGGAGAAGTGCAGCTGCTTCTGAGACACTCAGACACGGGAAGGGGCACCGCCCACCAGGGCGTCCGTCTCCGCTTTGTGCTGCCCAGGGAGCTTCTGGAGTGCTACCTGCAGGCTGGGAGAAGGGAGGAGGCCGCCGCGTTCTGTGCCACCGCCGTGCCCTTCATAAAGACTCACGCGCCGCACCGGTACCGGCAGGTGTTCGCTGTGATGGTAGGTCCGGCGGGAACCCTGGGGACCGGGAAGTGGCTTTGCTCTCTGTCGTTCGGAAAACTGTAGAACAGCAGCTGCAGGCTCACCTGCCGAGAGTCTAAGCTGCAGCTGCAGTCGCAGACGGTGCGACTGCACCGACTCAGAAACAGTGGGGCGTTGGTAAAGAGGAAGCTGTTACCGCAACAGCCTGTACGGAGACCCGTGACGATTCGTCACGTTCCGTGTACAGGAAAGCGAGCCAACACTAAGCAGGGTTAGGGAAAAGCGTCTCGTCAACCACAGAACTGACGTCGGGGAAGGAGCGCTAGCAGAGCGGTCGCTGCGCACGGGTCTGGACACCGCCCAGTCGTCCCTTCAGACCCGAGCCGCTGTCCTGCCCCCCTCGCCACAGGTGCGGCACGGCCTGGTGGGCGAGCTGCAGCTGAAGGAGGAGAGAAAGTCTTCCATCAGCCTGTCCGTCACCTTCTACATCAACCTGCTCCAAGGGCGAGTGCCTGCGGGGAGCGCGGGCTCCCCGGCGCCCCACTCTGTCCACAAGGGGTGGGGCTGCAGGACCCCCAGCGCCAGGCTCCTGCCCCAGGCGGGGTGTGAGAGTTGGCAGGGAAATGGAGGGAAACTAGAGGAGCTTGTGGGTGGAGCCCCGCTGGAGTGGGCGGGAGGGAGGTTGGGAGGAGACCTGCCCAGGTGTGCAAGGGGGCCTGGGTCCTGGGCAGCCAGGGGGCAGGGCCAGGCACCCCGCCCGGTGGGTCCTGGAAGCCCGGCCCAGGCACGGGGGAGCCGCCCAGGGGAGCCGAGGAGCAGGAGGGTTAGGCTGGCTCGTTCTGGGCCTCTGTCCAGTGGGAAACAGCTTCATGAGCGTAGAGTTTTTAAGGATGATTTGAAGGACACTGACAGCAGTTTGCTTATTTCGTGTTTGCATTAATTCTAGAAAACTGGATAAAAATGATTTACCTGAAGATGCCAACAAAATTCTGAAGGGGGCCTACAAACAACTGGGCCATTACAACCAGCAGCGCTTCCCTTCGATCGTGGAGGAGAAGTGAGTATCTGCATTCGCCCAGCTTCACAGCTGCGTGGGGGCCGGGGGGCTGCACGGGGGGGGGTCTGTGTGGGACAGCAGGAAGCTGGTCAGTCCGGAAGAAAGGGAAAAGCCGGGAAAGCACCAGGACTCCCCCTGCATGCCATGTGGAAGCTCAGGGTTTCCTCCAGCCCCTCCCATCCCAAGGTGGGGCCGGGAGGGGAGCCCCGTGGACACACAGCTTCTGAAAACCACAGTCAGCTCTGGCAGAAGCAGCTTATTTTTCGGACTGTAAGATGCACCCCCCCCAATTTGGGAGGAATAATGGTTGTTAATGCTGCCATGGGGTTCTGTGTACATTTACATCGATGAAATGTTGTATTATTTATGTTATTAAATATTTTACCACTCTTTTTTTTGCTTTTTTTCTCCTCTAAAAAAGGTGTGTTTTATGGTCTGAAAAATGCAGGACTTCCAAGTTCCCACAGGATCTCCCACCTGTGGGCCACCTGCGCCGCATCCGCGGGTGGAGGACAAACTCGCCCCCCCCCCCCCCCCCCCCCGCCACAGCTCAGTTCTGTCCTGGTGTCTGACCCCCGAGCTCAGAGTGAGGGGAGACCCTGGTTGACTTCCTGGGGGCAGGAGGTGAAGCCAGAGGCCGCCACCTGAGTGTCCCCTCTCACGGGGGTCACCCCTGCTTCCCAGCCCCGCGCCGGTCCCTTCTCCAGTGTTTACCTGCAGGAGCAGGCGGGGCACTGACGCGTGGTCACTGGCTGCTGTGACCGCTGTGCTCTCTGCCTGGCGTCTCTGGCCGTCTGGGGTGCGGCACTCGGCCCGCCAGGGCCTCTGGGCGTCCACTCTGGCACCGGGCCTCTCGGCTCCCGGTGATGGTCGGTTCCTCCGCACTCCTAACGTGTGGAGCTGTTTGGCCCTTTGCCTGTAGCAACGGTTCTGGATATTTTTGTAGATTGTCATTTGATCATTAATTTGGGGTGTCGTGGGCTGAACTGTGTTTTCCCAAAAGATGGGGTCGGGTCCCAGCGCTCACTGCCCCTGTGGAAATGGCTCCTTTGCGGGTGTGACTGAGGGCAGGGGAGGCCAGACCGCTGTGGGCCGGGCCCTGGTCCGGGGACTTCTGCTTTCACAGGAGGGACACAGGGACTCACCCCGGGAAGGAGGCCACACGAGGAGAGAGGGGCGCGAGGGGCGCTGGCCACACCTGGAGCTGAGGCCCCTGTTTCCTCCCTGCAGCTTCGGGGGGGCGGGCCCTGCGACCCCTGGACCTCAGCCTCCTGGCCTGTAGAACCGAGAGGTTAACTACTCGTGGTTTCAGGCCGCCCAGCTCATGGGAGCAGCTCTGGAAGCCCGGTGGGGCCACGTTGTCTGCCACCGTGGGGCAGGGCGGCACCGCCCGAGTGGCTTCGACCCTCGGTGTCGGTGGCCTGGCCGGGTCTGTGGGCTCGAGGGGGCAGGTGCAGCTCCAGGCTGCAGTGGCTCTGGCCCAGCAGGCCTTGCCACGTGACAGCTCGCTCATCCCAGCCAGTGCAGGGATGGTGGCCAGCGCAGGCGAGGCCACAGTGTTCTGTTCTGTCCTAAAAAAGTTTTCTGATTGATTTGAGAGAGAGACGAAGGGAGAGAGACAGACATCGGCTCGCTGTCCTCTGTGCACTCGCTGATGCACGTGCACTGACCAGGGATTGAACCCACAGCCTCGGCTGCTGGGTCGGTGCTCTAACGTGCTGAGCCACCCAGCCAGGGCTCCCCATTCTGTTCCCACTTCCTGTCAGGGCAAGTGCGCGTCTGGCCACGCCCACGCTGGCGTTTCCCAGGGCCCCTGCCCACACGGCGCTACTTTGCTTTTGTTTTCAGAATCCATTTGCTCTTTGAACTGGCTCATCTTTCTCTGACCTTGAAATGTGAGGACGTCTCCTCCAGCTGCCTCTCGGACTTGAAGAGCATGGACAGCAAAGTGAGTGCCCAGGACCGTGGGTGCCTGGCAGCTGCCCGCTGCAGTCGGACGTGAAGGGGAGGGACGGGAGGAGCGTGGAACCCCCGGGAGGCATGTCTTCTCCACGTGCCTCTTCCAGGCCCACGCTCCTCCCTTCTCCCGTGGTCAGAGCACCCGCCCCACCCTGTCCCCGGGCGTTTAAACCCTGTTGTTTACTGCGCTCGACCTTGAGGGCTGCAGCGAACACAGCTCTTGTGGGATGTGGGGTTTTCCCCCAAGTTCACGGAGATGACGGCACAGCGCTCGGCAGTTCTCACTCAGATTTGTGAGCACTTGTCACAGCGCCACCCTCCACAGGCAGCTCGAGTTCCCGGGGGCGGGGGGCGGGCGTCAGGGCCGCGTGCCGTCCGTCCGTGTGGAGGGTGTGGACCCCCTGGTACCGTCTCTGAGGGCGGCTTCAGCCCCTTGGAGTGAGGAGCCCTGCCCTTTGAGTGAGGATGGGGAGAAGATGGACATACAAGCCCGATGCCAAGAGGCTGTTTCGAACCTCCTCTCTGAGTGACGCCTGTGCCCAGAGGACAGGAGACCTGTGAATCCTCGGGACACCCGGCGGCCTGAGACAAGGCAGACGGTCCGAGCTGAAGGCTCGCTGACGGACCCACACGGACCTCAGAAGAGTCCTGAGAAATCCACCGTCCGTGACGCGAGCCGTATTTTCCTCTTCGTTAAGGAGATAAAAACGTCTTTTCGGTTTTCTCAGACCTGCATGCTTTGGAAACGTGTTGGGTTTTTAAATACATTTTTCTGCCGTGACTGGTATTTGCTGGGTTTCTGCCTGCAGTGCTGGGTCGTCATTTAAAATGGTCTTTGGCTGTAGCGACGTGCACAGTGGCTCCGAGATAGTCTCCGTGTCTGGTTCCGCAGGACCCTGGGAACCTCATTGAGATCGAGTGCCTGGAGTGCGAGTTAGAGGCGCTGCGGCTGGAGAGTAAAATGAAAACCTACACTCGAGCGGCTGTGGAGGTAAAGCCTGAGCAGGACTCAGACGCCGGCCGCGTGCGGCGCCCTGTGGGCTGGGAGAGCCGGGCCTGGGCCGTGACTTCTGGGCCGGGGCTTGGCGGGCTCCCTGCTGGCTCCCGTGTGCCGGGCGTGAGCGCGGCCTCCCTGGCCGGACGGGCAGGGTCCCGGGCGGCACCCCAGCCATGAGTCTCCACAGCTCTGCTCACGGTCTCCTGTGGCTCCCGGGGCCTCTGGGCCTGGTGGCTGGGGGGCTGGGCAGGGACTGTCTCCCACCGGGCCCTCCTGAGGTCCGTGTGGAGCTGCCGCCCCACCTGTCACACACAGGGACAACACGTGCCCTTGGGGAAGGTCATCGCGTCCCCATCCTGACCCCTGCCCAGGAAGGCAAAGGTCGCCCCTCCCTAGCGTGGGGCCATCAGCCTCTCTGGGCCTAGAAACTGGAGGGCTCCAGGGATGTGGCACTGTCACTGTGAGGGGTGGGGGCTTGGCTGTTTGGCTCCTGAGCTTTGAAGATGTGCCCGGGCAGCCAGGGGGCACGGGGTCCGGATCCCATGTGGGCCTGGCGCCTCTGGCTCAGGAGCAGCGTGAGTGGGGCCCTGAGGGCCCCGGGGAAGGGTGGAGTGGGGAGGCCTGTCCCCCAGGTCCTAAAATGCCACAGCCAGTCCTGTGTGCCGGGCAGGCTGTGGTCTTTGGGTAACACAGGCAAAGGGCGGGAGCCTCAGTAAACGTATGAGACCAGGAGGCCCACAGACCGGAGGGAGGCCCAGGAATGTGGGCGGAAGCGTCTCTGAGGCCAGCAGCGCTTCTGGGGCCGGGCACTCTGCCCAGGGGTGCGGCCTGCGGGCGTCCGGGGCTCCCGCTCCACCGCCAGCAGGCAACTGCACTCGCCTCCCACGCTCCTACCCGGCCACCGCCTCCCGAGCAGGCCCAGCGGAACGTGATACAGAGACTGGACGTCGCGCTGCAGCGAGCCACCGGCCTGGCCGACCCTGCAGTGCTGCACGTGGTGTGCACCACCCAGTGGAACCTGTGTCTCCCGCTCCTGCAGCACAACCTGCGGCACCACCTGCGGAAGCCGCTGACCAGGATGGCGGAAATCCTGGAGAAGGTGGACAGGTGGCTCGGGCATCTGTGTCCTGGGCTGTCTGCTCAGGGAGGGACGCGTGGGCGGGGAGAGCAGAAGCCTTCGCACCAGGGATGGGGTGAGATCCGCTGGTTCCCCCGAAAGTGCCTGGAGCAGGACGGCGAGCTGCCTTCGGTGGGGGCGAGACCGTCAGTTTGCCCTGCCCAGGGCCAGGCTGCCCTCACCGCCTGCTCACGCCGACCGAGGGCCAGCCTCGGCCCGTGAGTCCTCAGGGACACGCAAATGACCAGAATCAGCTCAGACCTCGAAAGCCGGTGCCAGGACAGCATCCTCTGTGCCCCACGAGCCCCAAAGGAGGAACCTGCTATGGTCCAGTGTGGCCCGGGGTTGGCTGTGAGCCAGCGTGCACTCACCTGGGGTCTGGAACACTCACCGGTCAGGGTGGGCGCGGGGATGCCCAGGCAGCATGACGCCCAGGACCACGTGCCTCTGCCCTGGGGTCGCGTCATTCACAACATGGGTTGAAGGCCAGTCCCGGGCCGAGCCCCGTAGTGCAGGGGGGTTTGTGTCTGTACCTGCACCTCTGTCTGCAGCTGTGTCTGCACCTGCATCTGCACCTGCCTCTGCACCGCACCTGCGTCAGCAACTCCACTCTCTCCACACCTGTACGCACTGACAGCTACACTCACACTTAGGTACACCTACACCTACAGTCTGCTCCTGCGTCCAGAGCTTGTCACATGTCAGTAGGCCAGCTGAGCTCAGTGCTAAGAAGACCCTCGTAGCAGGAGGTGGGGGGGGACCCCGGGGGATGCAGCCTGTGGTGGGTGGTCCCCGTCAGCCTCTGAGCTACTGCGAGACATCAGAGACCAGACAGTTTGGGCGCCGGGTGCGGGGCGCCTGTCCCAGACTCAGGGCTGTGCGACCTCCCGAGGGAGGGGTGGGTCTCCGAGAGCCGGGACAGAGGAGGGGCTCAGGTGTCCAGCGATGGCTCTGTTCCCACTGGGAACAGCCAACGGGCAAAGGTGAGAGGCCACAGAGCAGAGGGGCAGGAGCTGAGTGTCTCTGGGCCGGAAGGAGGGAGCTGGGGAGGGCGAGTGTGGGCTGAGGGTGTCGGCCCCGAGCCCCTCCCTAACATCCGGGCTGGAGAGGCTGGAGCTGCCCTGTGGGAGGCAGCCGGCTGTGCAGCGGGGGCCCTGCAGGGAGAGCCTGGGGGCCGCTCGGGCTTCCAGGAGGGAGGAAGCCGAGGAGAAGCAGGCAGGGCCTCGGCGGGAGGACGTGGGTCCCTGCTGACTGAGCAGGGGCTCCGTCAGGAGGGGTCCGGGGCTGGGGGCCAACCGGACCTGTCGGAGCATTTGTCCGAGAGCAGGGACAGGGTGGGGACAGCCCAGGAAGCACCATGCTGCCGGGGCCCTAGGCAGCGGTGCCCACGACGGTGTCTCTGGGTGTCTGTTTTGTCCCCGGCACGGGGTGCTGCGGGACGACCCCTGCAGACAGGGTGACAGCCCTGTGGGGGGAGCAGGTGTGTGGGCTCCACTTTCAGAGAGAAATGAGCGAGAGGGAGGCTGGGAAACGGGCACTGGGGCCAGAGAACGGCAGCCATGGAGGGCCGCCCGCGAGGGTGGCTGCCAGCAGCAGGGCGCCAGGATTTGGGCCCAGGCTGCAGGGAGGGGTCTTGGGGGGAGCTACATGGGGAAGCTGCAGCCGAGGCCACAGAGGAAGGAGCAAACACCAGGGAGACAGGCCCTCGGTGCAGTGGTCGTGGGGGCCGGGGGTGGGGGCGGAGACAGCGGGGAGCTGCAGGAGAGCGTTGCGGTACGGGCAGGGGGTGGGGTGACGGCACCAGCAGTCGGCGGGGAGGGCCCTGGCGATGCGCGCACCCTCGCGGCAGCTCTCCCGGCAGGGACCCCGGGTTTTCCGCACTGCTGCTTCTCGGTCGGTGGGGCTGTGGGGACCCCTGCCCTGTCCCCTGTGTGAGTCCTCAAGGCGGGGCCGTGTGGGGGGCCAGGGCCACTGAGGGTCTCCAGGGCAGCCCGGAAGCGCTGCCCCCTGACGCTTGCCGTGCCCCGCCCCCAGCCTCGCGGTCTTGCTCCGCTGCCAAGTGCACATGGAGCTGGCCCACATCGAGGAGGACGAGGACCGGCTGGAGCCCGCCATGGAGCACCTGGTGAAGGCCATGCGGCTGGACAGCCAGGGCCTGTACCAGGAGAGGCTGCGGATGGCCTTCAACCGGCTGCGTCTCTGCTCCACACTGTACCAGAACCCCGAGCATGCCGAGGACAAGGCCACCATGGCCATTGAGCAGGTGCCGCCTTGGAGGCCCGGGAGTCCCCGGCGCCTCTTCAGAGCCTGCGAATACTGGGCCCACACCCCCCTTCCTCCCACAGGCCAAGAAAGCCATGGCCAAAGACAGTGTCCGGAAGAAGCGGGCCCTCCTGGTGAACGCGGGCCTGGCACTGGCCCCCGACGCCTTCCAGATTGTGCTGGACAGTGAGAATGAGGCCAAGGGTGGGTGCTGCCTCCTTCCCCAGCATCGAGTCCCCTGCAGCTGTGGGGTGGAGCCCCGGCCTGCCCTTGGTGGGGACCGTGCTGGGCCCCTGGGAAGGTCAGACCCCAGCTGCCCTTGACCTCTGCCCAGCATACTTATCCTGTGGTCTGTGGCCCTGGAAGCTGGCTCTCTGCCCATTGTCCTGGCAGCTACCTTGAGGTGTCCTGAGGGCAGCTGGCACACGGGCTCCCAGCTCGGTCTGGGGGCCGGGGTCCTTTGTGTCTGAGGCTGAGGGGCCCCTCCCCCTGGTGGGGGAGGCGAAGGACGGGATGGGGTCACATCCAACAGTGGGAGGGACGGCTCTGGGGTGTGACGCCTCGCGCTGCCTGCGTGTCCCCTGCCGCTGCAGCTGCCCTAGGCAGCCACAGTGGGACATGCCTGGGTGCCCCTCGCAGGGTGTGCTGCTGGGAGCCCAGGGAGGTGGCGGCAGAGCCTGCCAGGTGGGGCGTCACCAGGTCTGGTGGCAGCACGGCCCAGGCCCACGGCATCCCCAGGGCCGCTGGAGCACTCAGAGTTCGCTCTTCTGTGCCGGGGAAGCAGCTCCAACACCAGCTGATCAATGTCCAGCCTCTCCAAGGGGCAGCAGAGGCTGCCTTGAGGGCCAGCGAACCGAGGGGCTTTGGTGGGTGGAGATGGGGCGGTGCCACCATGGGACTGAGTGGCGGGTGGCCAGGCTGACCCTGCACTACGCCGTGCCCGGGGGCCTGGCAGTGTCCCACCCACAGCCACAGCCCCTCTCCGCCCGGGCTCTGGGTGGCCGTGGCCTGGTGGTGGGGGGGCTGCACCCGATGACACCGGCCACCCCTGGACGAAGGGAGGTGCGGTCCCTCCGCATCGCAGGCCTGTCGCATGACCTTGGCCTCGTTTGCTTCCCTTTGCCCTCAGTCTCCACCGGGAAGAGCAGGAGCCGGTTTGCTCCGCTTTTCGCCAGGGCCCGGCACCACACCGTCAGCGTGGAGAAAGCCACCGGGCATTTGCGGCGTTTGGGGAGCGAGAATGAAAAGGAGAGGTGAGCAGGCACCTGGAGAGGCCCCCAGGTCCACACCTGCGTGGGGGGGGCCAGACAGTGACCTCCTCCAGCAGCGAAACTGCCCCCGCCCTGGCCCCCCCGTGGGGTCCTGGAGGCCGGCAGCGGGGGGCGCACGGCTCGGGGTAGGGACCTGGAAGGCAGCCCCCCCCACTGCCCCTGCAACCGGAGGCCCTGCCTGGGGGTGGGGGGCTGGGTGGGGTCAGGACAGTGGCTGGAGCTGCTTGTTGTGGACTCGGGGAGCCCTGTCCCAGGGCAAGGATGTGGTTGGGTGCTTCTCGGTTGTCACAGTGACGGGGACCAGAGAACCGCCCCTGTCCTCTCACCCCGACCCTGGGGGCAGCCTCCTCCTGTGAGGGCTGCCCTGCTGCGGCCAGGCCCTGGCGGCCAGTGAGCGTTGGTCATCTCGCAGCTGCTGTTCGAGACCCTGAGCAGCAGACCCGCCGGGGCCTGTTCCTCATGGGCCGCCGTTCGAGTGGGTCCTGGCTCTGCTGGCCGAGTCCAAGTTCACGGGCTCCCTGGTCTGGGTCTTTGGGGAGCAGAGTGCAGATCTGGGCCGAGCTCGCCAAAGTCGCCCGGAAGCAGGGCGTGTGGGACGTGTGCCGGGCGGCCTGCCGCTTCTGCCTCCTGTACGACAGCGTGAAGGGGAAGAGGCTGTCTCGGCTGAGGAGAGGTCAGTGCAGTGGCCGCCGGGCGCTGGGGGGCTGCCGTCCGGTCCGGGAGGGTGGGGGGCTGTCCGTGTGGGTCTGGCGGGCCTTCGAGGACACGGCGTTTCACAGATGCCGGCAGCCGACTGCCGAGGCTGCTCTCGGTGGCCGACGGTGACCACAGGGGCACCCCTGGCCAGCACCCCCCGCATCTGGCACCCTGCGCCGCCGTCTTGTTTGGCCTTCCCAGGCCCCTGGGGATCGCCAGGGGGCTGAGAAGAGGGAAGGGACCTGTTTTGAGTGAGAGCACTGAGGAGCCTGCGGGCAGAGGGCAGAGGGCAGAGGGCAGAGGCCGAGGTGCAGGCGTGGCTCTCAGGAGGGGGCAGGGGCTGGCTGCGCAGGTCAGCACCCGGTCTGGGGACAGGCCAGGGTGCAGGCCCCCAGGGGAGCCCTGACCTGTGAGCAGCAGGGACGCAGGGGCTTGCGAGAGGCACGCACAGGCCCCAGATCACACCGTTAGGAATGTCCGGTGGGACGGGACCCCGGCTGCCCTGGGGCTGGGGCAGGGCTCTGGCAGGTGGGGGGCTGCAGCCCTGCCCCGCAGTCTGTGCCCCGGTCTGAAGCGCCGCCGTCCCCAGGGAGGAGGAGGCGGGGCGGAGACAGCCTGGGCCACGACTCCAGGGCCCAGTCCCTGGCCACGCTGCGGAGGCCGGGGTCGCCCACCCTGCTGCAGAAGTTCGCGGAGGTGGGCTTCATCAACGCCGAGGTGCGTCCGGGTACAGGTGGGCTCGCGGGCATGGGTCCCCTCGAGCTGCCCTCAGTCCTCCGTGGTGGCCGCGGGCGCCCGGGAGGTTTTCTGGGGGGAAAGGAGAAGTCAAAATGCGATGTGTGCCGACAGAAAATTTCCTCAGAAGTAGTTTCTGAACTGTGCCTTGGCTGGCCCCCGTGACCTCCGGGCCGGCCTTGGCAGGCCACCGTCCACTTGCTGCGGTCAGAAGGCGTGGAGCTCAACAACTGCCCCACCCCCCCTGAGGACCTGAGCCAGCACGCGGCCGGCTACATGTTGGAGTCCCCCCAGGACAACTCCGAGTGGGTCACGTACAGGTAGGCGGTCGGCCTGGCCGGCTCTACGTGTCCGTGGGGCGCGGGCTGCTGGGCGGGGCTGGTGTGTCACGTGAGGCTTGTTCACCCCGACCGCCCTGGTCACCGGGAAACGAGAGGTGCTAGGGGCCCTGTCGGCAGTGGGAAGGCAGGAAGGGGCAGCTCTTCAGTTCGCTCAGGTGAGTGGTGGACACGCCGGGACGGCTCCCTGGGCGGGTGGTGAGGCGTCTCCTCGGATTGTCCAGGAGACCAGCCCACGTGCGGTGCCCGGAGCCCGACACCGTGGGGCGGGCACTGTGTCCAGTGTGAGGGTCCGAGTCCTTCCTTGATCTGACACTCAGCACTTTGGAGAGTGAGGGACTGAATGTCCGCATTGTCCCGTCCCGGGGGCTGAGCACACTGGTGCTGTTCTGCCCACCCGACAGACTGGGGCCCACTTTTCCTCGTGTCCCTTTCTCTCGGTCAGCGGACTCTCCCAAGCCCAGGCCCTGGGGTGCCGCCTCGCCGTGCAGGGTGTAGCGTGGGGGCGCCCCCCGCCAGGGGCTGGGGGAGGAGAGCGGGCGCCCGTTCCGAATAAACAGTTTGCCGTGGTGCTGGGAGGGCGCCCGTCCCTGGTGGCCCCGTGTGACCCCTGGCCTGGCCGCGTACGGCCCTCGAGGGGCTTGAGTTTGTGAAATGAAGCAGAGGAAGACGTGCTGGAGAGACCGCGTGGAGCCGCCGCGCCGGGGCGCTGCCGGGCACTTTGCAGGAACGCTCTTCTGCGCCCCGTCCCCGGGCAGACAGCTGTCACTCATGTCGGGGCAGAGTGGGACCTGGTGGCCCTCAGCGGAGTGACCTGTGTGGGTGGGGTGGCCCAGAGGGGACAGGCAGCCAGGCTGGCCTTTGGTCAGGGCTGTGTCCTCAGACCCGGAGGCCTGGGAGGTTTGCTGACCAGGGACAGAGCGAGAGGGTCTCATTGTCACGTGTGGCAGAGGGGCGTGCCCTGGGCAGACCTCAGGCTTGCACGGGTGCCTTGGGCTGGGAGAGGCCTGGAGTGCAGGGAGAGCCGGCTGTGCCCCTGCAGGACCTGGGTGGAGAGCCTGTCCCAGCAGGCCATGGGCAGCTGGCTGCGCTCGGCGGAGATCGGGCAGGAGATGCGGGAGGCCTGGGTCGTGCAGAACGCGGTCGTCTACGTCCTGAACCACAACCACCACCTCATCACAGCTGGGCGGCAGAAGGAGCTGGTGGACACCTTGTACCGCCTCCTGAGCATCGTCCAGGCCACCGGCCACAACGGGTGGGTCCTGGCGCAGGGGCTGTGGGATCGGGCTGGGTCGAAGGATGTCACCCTTCTGTGGTGTCACCCTTCCAGGGAGGGGCGGGCTGCCGACAGCTGGTGCCTGGAGGGGACGGGCCGAGGACAAGCCTGGGGGACACGCGGAGGGTGCTGTCTTGATCCCAGGGTCCCTTTACTAGCTGTGCACCCTGAGCCAGGCACCCACCCTCCCTGAGGCGGTGCGTGGGAGCAGACAGAGTGGAGGCGGCGGGGCTTGTGGATCCCTGAGTCACTGAGGGAGACGGGGGACGGGGGCGACCCCCTCGCTGGGGTGTGGGGCAGGCGCCAAAAGTCGGTCCCCATGCTTTCTTGTCCAGTGGGACCTGGTGAGGGGCCAGTGCCCCCACCACTAACACTGGAAATTCGGCAGCTTCAACTTGGTCACAGTTTTATCTAAGCGAGATGGAACTTCAAAACTCTCCTAGTGTTTTCTCTGTTTTGGCTTTTAGTCTGGGGACTAACATCTAAATATTTGCACTGGGTATGCCAAAGCAGAAGTTCGAGAATGATTCGGAATGTAGCAACGTATGACGGGGTAGTTTTTAAAGTCGGGGGTAGTGGAGAGGGCGCTGTCCCCTCTGCCGTCGGCGCCTGGAGGGGCCGCGGGGACCTGGGCCCTGCTCGCAGCTGCCGTCCTGCCGGATTCTGCTGCAGACAGCGGTCAGCCGAGTCCCTGAGTCTCAGCATCTGGGGGGCGCTGGTGACCATTGTAAACACCCTGACCTTGCTGGCGAAAAACACGAGCTTCTGGTACAAGTGCCTTCGTCTGGTAACGGACGGAAATTCTCAGGCCACGGCCCAGGGCCTGCTGGACGCACTGGCCAAGTGAGCAGGTGGGCCTTCCTGTCCAGCCCACGTGGCTTCACCCTCTCAGTGTGAAGCCCCCTGGGACGGGGACCGAGCGTCACCTCAGCAGGCTCATCACGGCCAGTGTCCTCCCCCGACGCCTGGGAATGGTGCCCGAAGCCGGTGCTGAGGGCCGGGCGGCGACCCTTCCACTGGGTCCCGGAGGACCCCCGGGCCTCACCCGCCGACGCCCTGTGTTCCAGCGACCCTGTCATGCTGGTGACACTCTGCAACACTCTGGCTCGCGGCCTCATCATCAGCTGGATCCCAACGCAGACGCCTGAGAAATCGAAGAAGCCCGTGCGGTCCAACGCATTCCACAGCCCCCTGGACTCCGAAGCCGCCTCCGAAGTCAGAACCGCGGTGGAGGTACGGCCCGGTGGCCTGCGCGGGCGGCTTCTCCGCACAGTCGTGCTCGCAGTGCAGGGATGGCAGCGGCGGGGGTGAGACGGGCCGCTGGTCCAGCCGCCGGGAGTGGACGCTGGTGGTAGGGGGACGTGCATCCTTCTGAGAGCCAGGGTGGGGTGTCGGGGAGCGAGCGTCCACAGGGCGAGGGGGGGCAGCGCCACGCCGGCTCCCGGACCCGTTCTCACGCCGATGGTGTGCGCCGTGGGGGCTGTGAGCCCACGGGAGTAGCTTCCCAGGGGATGTGGACGTCACTGTGGCCTTCTGTGACCAGGGGGCAGATCCACGGTCTTGGCAGGGCCTGGGGAGCGTTTGGTGACCCACCGCCCGAGTGTAGTTCGGAAGAGGCTCAGTGAACGTGGAAGAAAGCAAGTCCCTTGATGGCTGGGGGGGGGCCGGCCAGGACCTGCAGCCAACCTGCGTGTGAGGAGGGCGGGCAGCGCCCTAGGAGAGGAAGCACGGGGGTGGGGGGCGTCCTGCCACCGCCCGGGTCTGGCGTGTGCAGGGCTGAGGGTGCGGGAGGGCGGGCCGCACGCCTCCCTCTCGGCCATCGCTGCACCCAGGACCGGCCCAGGCTGGCGCGTGGCTCAGCCGCCGCTGTGTCTGGGCGGGAGCCTGGCCACTCGTGGTCAGTGACTCGGGCCTCTCCATTCAGAAGTTTGGTTTTCAGGACAAGCACACCTCCGTTCCAGGTCTGTGAGTTTGCCCTGAACCTGACCAGCGGGGCGGTGCCTGAGGACACGGTGCCCACGGAGGCCCGGCAGCAGCTCATCGCCACCTGGGTGAAGGCCAAGCAGCTGCTGCAGCAGCAGATCGGGCCCCGGCTGGGCGTGGACGAGCAGGTGCGACCGGCGGGTCTCGGCTCCGGCCATCCCCGCCCCGCTGGCGCCCGCCCTCCGCCGGCAGCCAGGTCAGCCCAGTCGTCTGGCTGCTGTGCCCGCTGCGGCTCCGTGGCACGAGGTCCCCAGGAGACAGAGTTTTACACCGAGAGCCCCTGCTACCGGCACCGCACACGCCTTTTACAGGAGTCAAGTCCCCATGTCCCAGCCCCGCCAAGGCCCTGGGGCTCATGGATACTCTCTGCTCCCCGCCCCCCAGAGCACCAACGAGGACATCAGCTCTGTGACCAAAGTCCTGGTCGCTCTGGAGATGTACTCCTGCAACGGGCTGGGCCTCATGGACTTCACGGTGCCGCCCCTGGCCCAGGTGGGTGCTCGTCCTGCTTTGCACCCTGGGGGCAGAACCCTGCAGCCTGAGGCCGCTTGGTCCAGCCCGGCTGTGCAGAGGCAGGTCAGGGCGGAGGGTGCAGCCTCCTCACTGCACCGGCCATCCCCTCGCTGTGGTTCCGTACAGCAGCTCCCCCCCCTCAGTGGCCTTGCTCAGGGCATGATGTCCCTGGGGGCACGGAGGCAGTGTGGGCCTGGGCACCCGTCACCCAGCAGCTGACCCTGAGCTGGAGCCTGGGCCTAGGTTTGCGACTGGTGACGTGGTCACTCAGCCTTCCTGGCTAACCCCGGGGAGGGCCTTTCCCAGCCAGGTCTGTCTGGGGTGACGTAACTCCCAGGCCCATGGCCACCAGCGGACAGCGCCTGTGCTGCGGGCCAGGGGAGGGGGCTGGACACCTGCACTGAGTGTCCGCCTCCGCCCTGCGCAGCTGGTGAAGATGGCCTCGGCGTGCAGCTGGGCGGAGCCCCTGGTGGAGCTGCAGACCCTGGCCCGCCTGAGCCACTTCGCCTACGTGGCCCACGACCACGAGACCACCATGGCGTGCTCGAAGAAGGCCGTGCAGATGGGCGTCCAGTGCCTGAGGCAGTTCAGCCCGTGAGTCGGCTCCCTGGCTCCTGACCTCTGCGTCCGGTGACATGGCCGCCGCCCCGTCTCCCCCAAGATCAGGAGGGCCTTGGAGAACGCTTGTGGTCACGCATTTGCGTGCAGGGCACACACCGTGACTGGGGGGCCCGTGCAGAGGTTACGGGGAGGGAGCACCAGCTCCTGGGCAGGCCCCCACTCAGTCTGTGCATCCCCAGCAGCCCCGTCCAGGTGCCGGGCAGCCTCTGCCGCGGGCTCCGTCAGCCGGGCCACGATGCCCCTGGGCCCCCGGAGAGCCGGGCTCAGCAGGGTCCTGAGGCTGCTGGAACCTCAGGAGCAGCGAGTGTTGCCCTCCCCAACAGCTGCGCTAACCCTGATTCTGAGAAGGCGGCAAGTGCCCTACATACATTAGAACGTAATTAAAGGGAGGTTTGATTACGTCCTCTCCCGCCTGCTCTTGGCCTGAGGGCTGCAGAGGCTGCCGCTGCCCCAGGTTCCGGGACGGCCCAGGGGGGCCTCGGGTCCTTTGTTTTTCTGACAGTTTGCTCAGGCTCACAGGCTCCGTCCAGCTGATCGGTAAACTGTGCCCACTCTTTCCTCTGTTTTCAAAAGCCGGGCCTTTAAAAACCTGTTGCGAATATAAATATTTCTGCGGTAGACATTGTTTTCCTTGAGGTTCTCTTCAGCTAACTTCCTGAACCTATTTTCTTTTTTAAAAGATTTTGTTTATTTACTTTTAGAAAGAGAGGGAGGCAGGGAGAAGGAGGGAGAGAAACATCCATGTGTGGCTGCCTCTCTCGCTCCCCCTACTGGGGACCTGGCCTGCAACCCAGGCATGTGCCCTGACTGGGAATCGAACCAGCGGCCCTTTGGTTCACAGGACAGCACTCGATCCCCTGAGCCACACCGGCCAGGGCCTGAACCTATTTCCTGGAAGTCCACCTCAGCGACTCATGTGGCCGGGGCCTCGGACGTGCTTGGGGCACAGGCAGGTGCCCTCGAGGGGCTGTTCACACATCATCTCATTTATTCCTCCGAACGGCTGTCTCCACACGGCAGCCGGGAAACTGAGGCAGCGGCCGAGTCACCCAGCTGGTGGGTGGCTGAGCCAGGGTGGGAGCCAGCCCATGTCAGGAGAAACCTGTCTGGCAGACCCTGACGCGACACAGTGTCCTCGAGACTGCGGCCCCGAATGCAGAGCGGCTTGTGTTAAAGGACAAATCATCGTGTGGGTGGGAGTTTCAACAACGAAGCGAAAACCCTAATAAAGGGCTGAGTGGGGATTCCAGGACCAAAAAGTTTGACGTCTCCGTCATGGAAATGACTCTGAGTGGATGCATGAGGAGCAGACAGCCAGGGCGCTGGGGGACAGCAGGGGGACGGGCTGGAGAGGGGGGCAGACGCGCGCGGACGCGGAGATGCAGCAGCTGAGATGTTTTCCAGCTGGATCCAGAGCAACCTGAGACCCAGCATTTTCAAGGAAGGGGCGGCAGGAGCAACTCCGAGAAAACCCGGCCGGTCTCCCTTGTAGCGGGATGGCCGAGGCCACACCTGGAGGGGGGCGGGAGAGGGACCAGGACACATTCCACGCAGGATGACAGCGGCAGGGTTTCGGACCTGCCCACGGCGACAAGAGGAACCTCGTCAGTCTAGACCCTCTGCCCACTGAGCAAGGCCTGCAAAAACCACAGCAAAATCAAGACGTCTTCCGATTCGCTGGTGCTGAGAGGATCCCACTTTAACAGACCGCAGGATGGGGGACACCGAGGGAGGTGACGCTGGCACGCCAGGCTCTGGCCGAGAGGAGAGCGTAACCCGGCTTGCCCGTTGCACGCCTGTGCTGAGGAGGGCGTCAGCCTGTTCGCAACAAGAACCATGCGCTCTCGCCAGAGCAAACACAGAGGGAGGCGTGTGACGCCAAGGGTGGGGAGGAGACGCGGGGAAGCCCGTCCTTGGTTCTCTTGTGGCCTGAGGGTCGAAGTGAACCGAGCGGGGGCAGCCAGCCGGTGATCCCTGCCTCGGCCCCTCGGGCAACGCTAGGAAGACTGCGGCAAGAAGGCGCACTCCATCTGCAGGCCAGGAGGTTGGACGGGACCCTGGAAAGTGCCTCAGGAGGGAGACCAGGGGCTCGCCGGGAGGCAGGAAGGCGAGGGGCGGAGCCTCGTGGATCCCTGTGTCAAGGTGGAGGTCAAAATGCAGTGTGTCCCGCGGGACACGAAACCAGGACCTGGCAGACGCTGCAGCCTTTTTCATTTTCAGGAGACTCTTTCGATACAAAGACTCAAGCAGAAGGCCAAAGGCGGGAGCGGTCGTCCCTGCAAACACTCCGCCGGTGTGGCGCTGGCCCCCGCACGGAGGTGTCCGGTCGGGGACACGGCCTCTCATGGGGACAGAGGGTGGAGTCAGCAAGAACACAAACATCCCGACCGTCTGCCCCTTGACAGCGGCGTGGTCAGGGATCAGGAAGCGCAAGCCAAGCACTTGTGCAGCTGGAGCTGTGGGCTCCGGCTCCTCTCTCAGGAAGCCACCACCTACGGGTGGGGACTATCTGCTCTCCTCTCCTCGGCGCCGGTGGGGGACGGCCCAGCACTGGGCCCGGGCGGGTGCCCGGTTCCCCGGGGGCCTGTGCTGCTGGACGAGTCCGTCTCGGAGGATGTCGGGAGACGCTGGGGGCGCTCGCCCTGCCCTACCCTTCGTCTCCCCCGAAAGGAGTCTTAGGCTCCAAGGGACCCACGACACTTGCAACCAGGGGCACAGAGGCCCCTCGCCCTAGGCTGCACCCCCACACCCGTCTGCCTGCAAGGCCCCTTTTCTCTGAGTGCCCAGCGAGCCAGAGCGGCCTGCCTGGGCTCTCTGCTGTTGCTGCTTCTGCCTTGGGCCTTCCTTTGTCCACTGTCCTCTGCTTTAATAGCTGTCCTCTCAACAAAAGTAAAATAAAGTAAAAGATGCCAGATGCTGCTGCCTGGTGGTTCTGCGGGGGGCTTTCAGGAGGCCTCTCCGGGCGCCCTGGGCTCGCTCACCTTTCTGCACAACAGCCCCGGCCCACCCGGGCTGTGCGCTGAGGGTGCTCTGCCCGCAGGGTCCAGCAGCAGCTGGCCGCAGAAGCGCTGAGTGCGGCCGCCTGCGTCCAGGGCCGGAGCATCGTGGAGAACCTGAAGGGGCGGAAGCAGCTGCGCCTGGTGGCTGCCAAGGCCTTCACGGAGAGTGTGAGGTCAGTCTGTGTGGCGTGTGTCTGGGGCCCTGTTGTGTGTGGGGACTCGGTGGCCCCAGTGCCCCAGAACGCAGAGCCTGCCTCGTGGTAGGGCCTGTCTCGGAGGCCGGCCCCTCCGGGGCCCGTGATGAGGGTGGGGCCCTGGCGGGTGTCCCTGGTGCAGGGCCCACTGCAGGGACGACCAGGAGCACGTCCCGTGGAGCACGGCCCTGCTGGGCCCGGTCCTCACCCGCCCTCTGAGGGCCCAGGAGGCGAGGCTGCCCCAGTGTCTGCAGCGTGGAGGTCGGGTGGGCCCTTTCCAGGTTTGGGGGCATCGCGCAGAGCAGCTCCCTGGTGATGCTGGCCGCCCGGCACTACTGGAACAGCCAGCTCCCGCTGCTGTCCTCCGCGGCCAGCAGGAAGAAGGCCAAGAGCGCCATTCAGAGGATCGTCGCCATCATCAACCAGGTGGAGGCCAAAAAGCAGGTGCGGCAGGGCTGGCTTCCTGGGCCCCACGGACAGACTGACCCCTGGGAACCGTGCAGATGGGGGTGGGGCCGGGACCGGGGGCCAGCAGGGCGGGGCGGCTCCTGGCTGAGCTCGGTGCTCTGACCTCCCCTCCCCCACCCTTCTCTTCTGCCCCCCCCCCCCAAGAGAGCCCTGCCCCTGCTTTGAAGCTCCCGAAGGAGAGCAGGGGGAAGGTAGGGGGGCAGGACTGTGGGATCAGCTCAGGGAAATGCACAGAAGCTGCTGAGCGAGGCCCCCACTGGGCTGGGCTGCTCTCACCTAGCTGACACCCTCCCCGCCCCACCCTGTCCCCAACCCTCACCCTCACTCACTGAGCACAGTGCCCCCAAGTCCCCTCCCCGTCGGAGCCTGGGTCCGCATCGCCCTCCTCCCCAGGGCTGGAGGATGGCGTTCCAGGATGCGCAGACCCCATGGGACCTGCTGTGGGGGCCTCGGGGCCCCTGCCCGGGGATGGAGCCGCTGGGCTCCGAGGTCAACCTCGGCGGGGACCCGCGGCCGTCCCCACTGCGCTTCCCCTTGTCCGTTCCCAGCAGCGGTGCCAGGGCCGCCCTTTTCCGCCTCCCGCCAGCACCTGCTTTTCCATCTCTGAGGCCGGAGCCGATCCAGAGGCTGGAAGTGGGGACTGGCTGGGGTTTCATTTTCCGTTTATTCAAAGACCAACGTGGTCGAGCGCCTTCCAAGGGCTCGCGTCTGCGTGGTCTCCCGCTCGTGAGCGACAGCGGCGGCGGGACCGGTGCCCGGTCGCCCTCACTGCCTCCGTGCAGGCGCGTCAGAGGGTTGCCGAGATTCTGTTTCTTGCCAGGTCAGCTCAGGCGACCTCTGTGTGTTGGGGATTTTTCCATTTCTCTAAGCCATCGAATTTGTTGGCGCACGGTTGGTGGTGGGCTCCTCTCAGGACCCTGTTTGCCTCCCTGGCCCGGGCAGGAAAGTTCCCACCTTCTTTCTGGCTTTTGTTGTCTGGTCTTTTCTTTTCCTCCTGGTCATCTAGCTAAAAATGTGTCCGTTTTGTTTATCTTTTTCAAAGAGCCAGCTTTTGGTTTCACTGATTTTCTCCGTATTTTTCCCTCTCTTCTCTACCTTCATTGTGCCCTTCGTTCTGCTGTCTGGGGTTGGTTCCTGCTTCTCCTCGTTCCCGCAGGTGGTAGGAGGTGGTGGAGCCGCCCCCAGGGGAAGCCCCCCTCCCCGGGCACGGCCTTCGCTGCATCCCTGCGCTTCTCCTGCTGTGCTTGACCTTGGGGATGCAAAGTGGTGGACGTCCCTCGGTGCTGCTGCCACCTAGGACGCTGTGGACAGGGGGTGGCCCGGCCCTGTGCTCTCGCGGCGCTGACCGCCACTGGATGGCCTTTTCTCACGGGGGGAATGGGACTCAGTGTGTCGGAGATGTTACGGCGATTGGACTCGGAGCCAAGTGCAACACAGATGGTGGGAGAAAGCACGGCAGTGTTCAGGGCCGTGTCTCGCCTTCTCTCTGCTGCAGGACGTGGGGAGCGTGCTGCTCCTGCACCAGTGGCCGACGGCGGACTTCCAGGGCGGAGGTGCCTCGGAAGGCTCTTTCCCCCCAGGTGTGCAGACAGGGAGCAGAGTGACGTGTGTGGGGTGGGGGTGGGGCTCTGTGCTTGCAGCCCTTGCCAGCCTGTGCCAGCCCAGAGCCATCGCGGCAGAAAGCCCAGGGACAGCCGCTCAGCCTCCAGGGTGTGGTGGGCACTGTGAGTGCCTTTCGGGGGCCTGGTGAGGACTTGGTTCCTGTGCACAGGGAACCAAGGCCCGAGGGTCCCCTTGTCCATTTGGGTCCTCCCCAGCCTCCCGACTGCCCTAAAACTGGCCTCCAGGTTTTTCTGGTGGTGAGTCATATTCTTCTTCCGTAAGAAGGTAGAGACACGCTGGTAAAAAATCCTGATCTTAGAACAATTTTAGAATTCATGTTTAAAGTACAAAAATGATTATCTACTAGAAATTCACCATGCTGTTGATGTAAGAGCTCTGTGTGTGTGCTCGGGGTGTGAGCGCTGGGGTCGGAGCCACGGTCCCCGCAGGACGGCAGTCTCATTTAGAGACCAAACCCGATTCAGAGGGAGCAGCACCCGACCAGATGCAGGCAGACACCGGGTGAGCCCTGAACGCCAGTGGCTCCCTCAGCGGCGCAGCTGCAGAGAGAGGGGCAGGCGGCCTCGAGCGTCTGGCCACGCAGGAGCTGCGGTGGACAGCCAGCCCCGTGGGCCCTGTGGGACAGAGCTGCAGACCACCCACGCGGCTCCGTGTGCTGGAAAACAATCACGCAGGTTAAACGGTGTCGTAGTTTTAACACTCAGATTCCAGGGGAAAAGCAGAAAGTGGAGTAGAGCTTAGCGGAGCTTATGTGGGAAGGTTAATAACCTGGACACTCACGAGACCCAGGTGACACAGTTCAGAGCCACGAAAGTGAGAATGGCGGGAAAACGCCCCTCTGACCCGGCGGTGAGGCGTGGCCAGAGCCCGCCCTGGGCTCGTGTGTCTGGGGGCCCCACCCCCACCCCAAGCCCTGTCCCCGCAGGGGCCGAGGACGACCTGTCTCTGCGCGCCGCGCTCTACGGCGTGCTGTTCCACTGCCACGCGGACCAGGGCGACTGGGAGGGCGGCCTGAAGGTGCTGGAGGAGGCCGTGCAGGTGCTGCCGCGGACGGCACACCGCCTGTGAGTGCGCCGAGCCCCTGGGGCCGCCCCCGCCCCCGCGTCTTTTCTGGTGATGTCCCCGTGAAGGATCCCACACACGTGGCCTGGGGGGTTACAGCACAACACAAACATCAGTTAAGAAATAAGATGTGAAATTCGGCCACAGCACAAAGTCCCACGTAAGTCAGGTTCCAACAAGTCCAGGTTTTGTTGTGTCTTTGTAAGTAGGAAAATGGACAAATACTTCAGTTCTGGGCGAATCACACAAATTTGAATTTTGTCATCAGCTCGAGAAGTAAGTTGCCTTTTGCTTTTCTGTAGCTTGATTTTCAAGCATATGGTCCTTGTGAAGGCCAAGCTTGGCCTGAACTTCACGATGGAGATGCAGAAGTTCAAGGACGAGAGTGAAGACTACTTGGCCCACATGTGGCACCGCCTGGCCTTGAACTCGAAGAACGTCTATGGAGAGCTGACCTGCTACCAGAACGCAATCCAAGCCTTGCAGGTGCGCCCCAGCCGCCCCAGAGGTGACCGCGCAGGGTCAAGCGTTGCTTCACTCCCTGGTCGAGGGCAGCGGACGGTGCTCTTCTCAGCTGGAGGGGCGGGCATGTGCGTGTCGGAGCCTGCGCCCGGGCCCTGCAGGGGTGGGCGGGGGTGCCGAGGCCCCGGGGGCATGGAAGACGAGGGATGCCCTGCCGCCTCTGGGTTCAGGGATCTGAGGATGATGTCCCCCCAGGAAGCTGACAGAGGTGCCTCTGGGTGCACTTGGGGGAGGGAGGCGGGGCTGCAGGGCAAGGGTGGGTGCCCTGAGTGACGCAAGAGCAGGTGGGACTTGCCTCAGGACAAAGAAGGTGGCCCAAAGACAGGCCGTTTGCGGGTGTCCGGAAGGTTCTCTGCTCAGCAGAGCGAGCGCGCCTCCGGGATCAGATGCCAAGTGCGGAGCCGGGGCCCCCACTGGCGGTCAGGACACTGTGTGTCCCGCAGGGCCTCTGCCGTTTATGTGTGGTTCACGCCTCGGGCTCGGTTCAGAGGCCAGAGTCCAAGTCCTCCCATGGGGATGGCCTTGCTGGGTTCTCCGGGACCAGGCGGTGTGGATCAGCCTCCACCAGAGAGAGCTGCGGGGTCCCCGCTGGAGGAGGCAGCCATCGGGGTTGTCTGCAGAGGCCCTCAGTCCCTGCAGACCCCCAGTCTCTGTCTTCTGGGGTCCTTCCCTCTCACAGGCACAGCACGTGCCATAGTGAAGCCTCAGGGTTGAACAGCCGACCACCAGCACCCTTGGCCCCGCCCCAGCTGCAGGCCCCGCCCACCCACCCTGCCCCAGCTGCGGGCCCCGCCCCTCCCAGCTGCAGGCCCCGCCCCAGCTGCCCCCTCTCTGCCTTCCATCTCCCCAGCTTCAGCCCAGCATTTCCTAGTCACGCCCCTGCCCCTCCTCCCCACCCCACTCTCGTGAGCTATGGGGTGAAGTCTGGGGTGGGACCAGGGAAGGGCTGGCCACTCCATCCCGGGACGGCTGGGCTGGACCAGGCCTGTCCTGGCCCTGTGGCTGCTCGCCACACAGAGCCTCTGGGCAGGGCCTTGCAGGCCCACTTGTCCCTGTGCTGGGGACCAGAGCAGAGAGGGTGACGACAGACAGAGCCGATGGAGGGCAGTGAGGCCTTGTGGGGCCTGGGAGGGCAGGGCCGGGCTGGCAGGCCTGCCCAGGGAGCAGGAGGCCTGCAGAGGCTGTGCCCAGCACCAGTCTTGCTGCAGCCGGCCGGGTGGCAGGTGGCCGGTGGTGGCGACGTGCGGAGGAGTCACGACAAGCCCGGTGAAGGGGGCTCCCTGGGGCGAGTGCAGGCGAGAGCGTGCGCTCTGGGAAGTGAAGCAGTGGACCCGCCGGGCGCTGCCGACCTCGGGGCGCTGGGCAGGACGCGCCGCAGCAGCCTCTCCCCCTCCTGCTGTTCCGTCCCAAGAAGCCTGAGAGTGAGTGGCAGAAGGTGGACTACATCATGGAGTTCGGCGAGTGGCTGTATTACCGGCAGTTCTCCATCGAAGACGTGGCCTTCCACCTGAACTGGGCCATCGACATCGTGCTGGCGTTGACGCCTGCCAGGGAGGCCCCGGAGCCGGCAGGTGAGCCGTGGCTGGGAGGGGTTCTGGGCACAGTGCCCCTCAGCGGCCTGCCCTGGTTCGGGGAGTGGTCTCAGTGGCGGGAAGTGGCTCTCACAGGCACGGACGCTGTGTGCAGGCCGCAGAAGGGCTTGGTTTGGGCTTAGGCGGGGCCTGGTTGAGCGGGTGCTGGTTGTGGGGGGCCTGGGTGGCCCCACTGTTGCCATGGTTTGGGGGACTTTAAAGACCACAGGTGCTTAGCTCGGCTGGTCAGGGGAGGCAGAGGTCCTGACCAGCCTGTTGGAGGAAACCAGCCAGGCTTCTGTGGGCTGGGGGTGGAGGGGGTCTCTACATCCGCCAGGAGGCCACTGGGCAGAAGGAGGGGGAACAGGTGGCTCTGGCCTGGTCAGCCGCCCTCTCCCTGCCTCTGGCCTGGAGCCCCTACCAGCAGCGGGGCTCAGGGCCGTCCTAGGACCCCAGGGCCTTGGGCAGGTGACGAGTGGGTACTGGGCCCCACAAGCCACCTGCAAACGGGCAGGTGTGAGGGCCAGTGATCCAGATGCACAGATGCTGCTCCCTGCCGAGTGGCCGAGAAGATGTGTGGCCACTGCGGGGCTCCTGTCCTGGGTCCTGACTCCAGTAAGAGGCAGGGACAGCCCCCCCAGGGTCCTTGCTGTGGCCGCAGACAGGCCGTGTGATGGGGCCCCAGCCCGGCTCCAGCATGGAGGCCGCCTCGACCAGGCCTGTGGGTGTGGGCGCCCCAGGAGGGGTACCCCCTGTCTGCGTGCACTGGAGCCGTGGGATGCGCCCCCCTTAGACGCATGTCCAGCCCCCATCTGGGCAACATGGGGAGGGGGTCCCCTCGCCCCCATCCCCAACAGTGGCCCCAGAGCCACAGACACCAGAGCTCCCCCCCCCCTGCAGGGGAGCTCTCCCCCACGCAGGCCGACCCGGAGCGGCCGGGGTCTGCCGACATGGGGACGGTCTCCTTGGAGAAGCTGTGCAGCGTGAGGCAGCTGGAGGCTCTGGCCCGAGCACACGTCCTGCTGGCCCTGACCGCGTCCCCCAGCGCCGCCAGCTACCAGGACTACTGCCTCCTGGCCTGCGCGGCCTTCCGGCGCATCTGGCAGGTGGGGCTGGGCGGGGCTCCAACCTCCCGGGTCCAGACTGTGGCTCCCTTCAGTCGCTTCCCAAGACCCTCTAGAGACGCGAGACTCGCGTGGCGTCTGCAGGGCAGCCGTGCATCCCTGTCCGAGCTGCCCTGTCAGCGCTGCTGCCTCCGGGCGACCCCTCCTCTCTGAGACCCTCCTGCCAGGGTCTCCCTCAGTCCTGTGTGCAGTGTGGACAGTAGTGGAAGCCAGTGTCCTTCTGCCCACCAGCAGCCCTGCTTCTGGGCTTCCAGAATATTCTCCCCCCATCCCCTGTCTGGCTCCCTCTGCCCCTTCCCACCACCTCCTCACAGCCCCTTCCTGGCAGCCCCTGGTGGCCTGTTGTTCCGGGCACCTCCGGGGCAGTGGCCCCAGGCCCCCCAGCAGCAGGAAGAGTGGGAAGGACCCACCAGGACTCTGGAAGGCCCTTCAGGACACTTCCTCCCTGTAAAGCCCTCCTTGAGGGTCACCCTCACCCTGTGTCCCTGCCGGGCCCCAGTCTGAGTGTCCCACCCCTGGGACGCTGCTGCCACTGTGGCCTGGTGGGCTCTCGGGTGTGGCCACAGCAGATGAATGGACACAGGGTTGCTGCTCGGAGCTGTAGGGTCGCTGGCCCGCCCCTGGGCTCCAAGTGTCTGGGAGGATGGTGGGGACTTGCATCTGTTCCTGACACTGCAGGCATTCATTTCCTGTCCCAGGTTTCTCTAACGACGGCAGGAAAATCCATTTCAGAAAGTAAACTTCCAGCAGCAGCTAGTTCCCAATTGTTGTTGCCTAAAAAAGAGAAGGAGAAGGTCAAGGACAAGGACAAGGAGAAGGTCAAGGACAAGGAAAAGGTCAAGGACAAGGACAGGGAGAAGGGCAAAGACCTGAAGCAGGTAATGCATCCTTCCCAGAGGTGCAGGCGGGACAGTGGAGGGGGAGGGCCCAGACGGGCCACAGGGTGCGGCCCCCACCCAGCACCCCGAGGCCTGGGGCCTGATGGACTTGCCTGTGACTCAGTTTCCTCTTCTGTAAAACGGGGGGTGTGATTTCTCCTCCCTCCTGCTCTCCCTCTCACACCCGGTGCTGGGGAGTGAGGGCGGATGGGGAGATGCCCGGAGGTTGTCAAATGCCAGAGCAAGTCACAGGTCAAAGGCCCTGGAAGGTACTCCGCAGGCACATCTGGGTCCTGGGGATGTGGGGGCAGGAGGGGCAGCCCCAGCCTCGCCACCACGAGGGGACAGCCGCACACCGACCTCTCACTGAGCTCCAGCAAGTCCTCCACACCGCGCTCCTGCGGCAGTCTGCCTGCGGTCCCGGCTGCGCAGCCCCGGGAGCTGGGCTTTCGCCTGCGCTCAGACGCCTGGAGCGCGCTGCTCCGGGCTGTGCGGGTGGCCAGAGGCCCTCCGGGACTCCGGTGCAGGGGCAGAAAGCACAGTGTGCGGGACATCTCCCGGCAGCTCCGTCCCAGCAAGTTCCGGATGTGGCGTCGGGTGTGGCTCTGGGACAGCAGGCTCAGGGCCTGGGGCGCAGGGGTCACAGGCGCAGCCTCCCCGGGGCCTCGACCTCCAGTTCCAGCTCGCTGCCTGCTCCCTCCAACCCCAAACTCTGCGCTCCCGCCCCACAGCCCCAAACCCTGGTCCTCAGCAGAGAGCCGGGGGAAATCCCAGCGAGCGTGGAGGCCTGGGCTTCCTACTTCTGCCCAGAAGAGGTGACAGCCGTGTTCAAACAGGACAGGAGCGACTTCACCGTCAATGCCTCCAGCATCCAGAGGCCGGTGAGTCAGCTGAGGGTGCCCACTGGCCCCGGCGTGGGCGGCAGGCCGCCAGCCGCGCTCCCCGAGTCCTGGCTGCTCCGCGGCAGCTGCGTTTGGTCCCCCGGGCAGTGCCCTCTCTACTGCCTTTGGGGAGGACTCGTCCTCGGGGTTTGCGGGAATTTCCGGGTCGGCCTTCTGGGCCTGGATCCCATTCACCCGGGAAGGTTCCAGATCCCGGTGCCGTTGGTGGAATAGTTAGAGCTGCTCACCGTTTCTGTTCTCGGACCGGTCCCGGCTGCTTGTGTTTTTCTCGGGCGTTTCCATCTAATACAAATTTTAAAAATTTTGGCACAATGTTCTTAACGCCCTCGTGAATTTTCAGTGTGCGTGTGGGGTCTGCAGAGACGCCTGCCTTTCCTGAGCAGCCCCCGCAGGAGCCCCCAGCCGTTAGTCCCTCCAGGCCACCCCGCCCGAGGGCAGCCAGACACGCAGCTCTGCGGCCTCCCCCCAGACAGAGCCAGAAGCACCCCCAGCCTCTCAAGCCTCTTTCATGGGCCACGGCCAGAGGCAGGTGCGCCCCAGCAGGGGTCCCTCCCAGGTCCGGCCCAGGTCCCTCCCCCTGCCTCATCTACTCTTCCGTGCTTTTCAGCAGATTTTTAAAACAGTTCATCCAACTTTTCTAATTTTCCACTGAAGAGTAATTTTTTTTAAAAAGTCAAGACTGTTGTAAGAAATACTAGTTGCATGTGTCCACAAATAAATTCTACTTTAATTTTTATTTTATTTTTTAAATATTTATTTATTTATCTTTAGAGGGGAAGGGAAGGAGAGAGGGAAACATCAATGTATGGTTGCCTCTAGTGCGTCCCTTGCTGGGAACTGGCCTACAGGGAACTGGCTTGCAACCCAGGCATGTGCCCTGACTGGGAATTGAACCACGATCCTCTGGTTCGCAGACCTGCGCTCAATCCACTGAGCTACACCAGCCAGGGCTTAATTTTTATTTTTAAAAATTATTTTATTGTTGCTCAATTACAGTTGTCTGCATTTTCCTCCCACCACTGCCCCCCACCCCAGCCAAACCCACCTCCCTCCCTTGCTTCCACCCCTCCCCTTGGTTTTACCCCTGTGTCCTTTATAGTTGTCCCTGAATTTATTTTTATTTTTTAAAGATTTTATTATTTATATTTAGACAGAGAGAAAAGGAGGGAAAGAGAGGGAGAGAAACATCAATGTGTGGTTGCTTCTCACGTGTCCCCTACTGGGGACTTGGCCTGCAACCCAGGCATGTGCCCTGACTGGGAATTGAACCGTCGACCCTTTGGTTCACAGGCCTGCACTCAATCCACTGAGCCACACCAGCCAGGGCAAATTCTGCTTTTAACAGACTGGTAGTTTTTAGTGGAAAAATAAAACAAAAGCATTCTGTTGCATAAATTTGTAAATGGATTGTGTCTTCCAAGAATCTGTGACTGGGCCGGAGCCCTGGGGGTGAGTGGTGACTGCCCAAGACAGAGGGGCCGTCACTCACTCGGTCCCAGATGCGGGGGGGCGGGTGGGGGGACAGAGCTCTCTGGGGAAGGCCCCCCCGCCGGGGGCTGGTGGCCCACCGCCCCACCCTCCTGCTCACCCTGTGCTGTGCAGACCTACACGCTGTACTACCTGGACCAGCTGGTGGCGGCCCTGCGGAAGCTGTCCCTGCCCGAGCTCGCGGTGCCGGTGCTGCAGCTGGGCGCCCTGATTTCCGCCTGCGTGGTGGACAGCGGGACCCTCAGAGACCTCTACCACCTCCGGTTGGTGCGCCGTCCTTACCCCCGGGAAGACCCGTTCCTGGGGGGCTCGTGTGGCTCTTCTTTGGGCTTCGAACCCTTGCGTGGTGACGGGCGGCTGCCCTGTGACTCCGTGGGGGGTCACGTCACCAAGGTGCGTACAGGAATGCAGCCTCGCCTGCCAGCTGTGCTTCGATGAGTTTTTTTTAAAAAATCATTTTTCACAAGAATTAAATGGTGGGGATGGTGGCCAGGGCGTGGCCCTGGGAGTTGAGGATCGTCAGCTCCATGAATGGACGTGACTGGCTTTTTCCGCCTGAAATTTGGTGGAGCTGCCTGGTGTTTTTTCCCAGTGATGTCGCTTAGCTGGAAAGGTCATGGAAAAGGTCACCCAGTCACACCTTTATTTGCTCACCATCATTTACCCAGCGCCCTGGGTGCAGTGCGGCCTGATGGCCTGGGGGGCCCCGAGTGACAGTCTGTGCCCCTTGTCACCCCTCTTCCGCAGGCTCGCCCTGGTCTGTTCTGATCTGAAGTTGAGAGACGCCGCTGCTTTCCACGAGGACCTGGTGGGCCAGGCGTACATCACGGAGGGGGAGCAGGCCAGGTGTGCGCGGCGCCGGGGCGGGCTTCCTGCTGCCGGAGCCGGTGGGACTAGGTGCAGCGGTCGGTCGGGGCTCAGAGCGAAGGAAGAGCCGTGTGGCTCTGCTCTGGGCCGCGTCCCCTCCCAGCCCCCGGCCCCCTTGCTCAGCACACCGGGCAGTGGGATGTTGGGAGGGTCCTGGGATCCAGTGCTCAGGGAGCCAGGGGCTGGGGGGGCTGTGCTGGGGGTGCAGTTCATCGTTTTACTGACCCGCCTGTGAGTGGCATGTCCCGGGTGGGGGCTGTGCTGGGCAGGGCTCTCCAAGGACTGAGAACTTCGAGCAGCAACCTGGCAGGCGGCTGAGGGGAGGCGGCCTGAGGGGGAGCCTGGGGCTGGCTCCGTGGGTGGACCTGCGTCTGGACCAGCCCAGCCCAGGTGGGAGTGGCAGGTGCGCAGGGGGGGTGTGGCCTGCAGTCCTGGGGGGCGGGGGAGAGCATGAGAGAGCCTGAGGCATGGACGTGGAGACCCCCCACGTCCTGGGGTCTTTCTAATCTTTGCAAACACATGAGTGTATAGAGGCCTCTCATCGTTATTTTACTTTCCAGGTATTTCTTGGCCACTGTATTTCTTCTTTAGCATGTTGCTTATTTTAATAACATTAGCTACAGGAAAGAAATTGCCCTGAGAAAGGAGAAAAGCAGGGAGCCGCTGCAAGAAGAAAGTTTGGGGGCCCTGGACGAGCCCTGGAGCACCGGGCTGCCCTCGGAAACAAGGCCGCTCACAGCGCAGGACCAGGTGCCACGCTCTGCAGAGCCCCAGCTTCCCGCCCGGCGGGTGGGGACAGGGCTGCGGCCACCACCGGGGGCCCAGGACTTGTCTCCACTATGCACACCAAAAACCCTCCTCGGTGTCCTGGGAACCTTGGGAGCAGATCACGTGTGTCCCCTCGTGGGCTCCGGAAGTCCCCGGGGAAGGCGAGGCTGGGGACCACCCCAGAAGGGAGCAGCAGGGCCCGAACAGCGGTTCGGAGAAGACAGGCTGGCTGGTGCCGAGAGGGGCGGGGCCCCACAGCCAGAGTGCACCGTCCATCTGGCCACTGCCCCTCGCTCCCCTGAACTTGGCGGGCACCCCTTCTGGGGGCTCCCCGGAGTGGAAGCACCCTCCCTGGCCACTGCGCTCCAATGTCAGCACCTGTCCGTGTGGGGGGGCCCACTCGCATCCCATTTTGGGCCCCTAGTCAGCACTCGGAGACCGGAGGCACAGGGCCAGCCTGGCCCTGGCAGGACAGCTCCGGGTGTGACCGGCACCCAGGGCCGAGGGGGTTTCTCGTGGTCTGGCTGACTCGCAGGAGCTCAGCGACTTGTCCCACGCCAGCCAGAGTGCTGCCTGTTCGGGGGACAGCTGCGGAGCACAGGTGGGAGGGAGGAGGGTGGCCCAGACCGGCTCCAGCGCAGCTGGTGGCCGCCTGGTCGGGTGAGGAGAGACAGGTGCCCAGGAGGAAAGTGGGGTGTGGGCATCGGCACAGACGCACCCTCACAGGCGGCGCGGCTCGCACGCTGCAGATTTTGTGGATGAACGCAGAGACCGGGAGAGGCCTGGACGGCACGTCCCTTCCACAGCTGTGGACCCTCAAGGCCGAAGTTCTGCTGGAGATGGACCTGTGGCAGCCGGCGCGGCTGCTCCTGTCCGAGGCCCGCCGGGCCTTCCAGGTAGGACGCCGCCGGCCGTGCTGCCCGGGGACGGGCCCGTCTGTCCTGGGCCGAGTCTGGAACCTCCCAGGTCCAGGACCCGTGCTCGACTCTCCTGCGGAGACGCTGTGTTCCCTGTGGGGGGCCCGCCTGCTTTGTCCCCTGCCTTGGACTCACCCACCAACTCTGCCCGCGGCCCTTCCCACAGCTGCCGTGGGCTGCTTCCCCCGGGACAGGCCCCTGCTCTGTTTCCTCAGTGGGGTGGGGGCCACGAGGTCCTGGAGACACCCCAGGCAGGTGATGCGCCAGGCCCCCACCCCAGTGAACTGGCCCTCACTGCCCTGGGTTGTCCTTGTGGGTGTCCATGGCCTCTCTGGGGTCTCGCTCCCTCCCCATCTGGGCTGCTCCCCCTCCTGGGCTCCGGCCCCACGACAGTGGCTGCCCCGGGGCAGGGAGTGGGACCCACGAGTGCGTCCCTCCGCCAGCATCAGCTGCTCTCCATGCTGCCGATGGGTGGCCTGTCCCCGTCCAGTGTTCAGAAGTGAGGTGTTCTGAAGCCCCCCAGATGGAGCAAAGCCCCTGATAAGGGTGCAGAACCTCAGCGGGGCCACGAAAGCCCCGGGAGGTTCACATCTCTATCTCTGGCAGCGGGGACGCTGTGCGCAGGTGTCTCCCCGCTGCTCTGTCTCAGCCTCCTCCCCTCGGCCACCCCACGTGTGGGAGTCTGGGGCACGCAGACCGCAGACCGGTGGCTGATTGGCTGGCCCCCTGCGGGGACTGGCCCTGCCTCCCCCCACTCCTGAGAGGTGCACCTGTCCCCATAACACATCCCCGCAGAGGCCGCCGTCGCCTGTCCGTCAGAGGCACTGACTGCTCTCTGCTCAGGGGTCCAGCCCCGCGCCCACCTTCGCTCTCCCCACCCTGGCCACCGTCTGCCTCACCCACACCCAGGCTCCCTTGTGCTGGTCCCTGGGGGCCCTGGCTCTTGGCTGAGAGGCACGAGCTCCCCGGGCCTCCCTGCTTCACCCTCTGCAGGCTGCCCTCCTCGGGCCCAGCCAGCCTGGACTTGTGCCGGCCTCACAGCCCTGCGGCCTCCTGCCCGGCTTAGCTCTCGGCCGGCAAGGCCCACCCAAGGCCCCTCTGAGCAGTTTGCGTAGCAAACGGAAGATGGGGTGGCCCTGGAACAGCACCTGGACTGGGGCTCCCGGCCTGGGGCTGTGGCCTCAGGGGCTGTGTCCTGGGAGGACAGAGGGTGCTGGGGCCTCTGCCAAACGCAGGGCTTCCCAGGGCTCTGAGCACCGTCCAGGACCCTGCAAGCAGCTTTTAACACACACAGGCCCCACGTCCACCCCACGCCCGAGGGCCAGTGCAGAGGTGCCCTCAGGGCTTGGAGGAGCCGGGCAGGTGGGCTCGGTGGGGAGGGGCCTGCTGCCTGCAGCTGCCGCCCGCCTGTCTGTCCCGCGCACTCGCCCCCACCCCCATCCTGTCTCCACATACGTCTGTCTGTCTGTCTCTCTCAGGAGCTGGATGATTGTTGTGCAGAAGCCAAGTGCCTGCACCTTCTGGCGCAGTTGGCCAACAAGGAGAGAAACTACGGCCAAGCCAAGAAGATGGCTCTGCACGCCCAGCGCCTGGGCGGCGGCGAGGAGTTCTGGTACCGCTCCACCCTGACCCTGGCTGACGCGCTCCTGTCCACGGAAGAGAAGGGCCGCGAAGTGGCGGTGAGGGGAGGCCGGGCGCCGGGCTCGGCGGGTGGCCCCCGGCTGGGGTCCGGGGCTCACACTGGCCTGCGCTGCCCCCAGGTCTGCCAGCTCTTCCAGGGGCTCATCGAGACGTTCAGGGAGCTGCAGAAGGAAAGACCTAACCGGGCACCCATCCTGGAGTTCATGAACATGGACCTGGAAGCCAGGTAGTCTTCTAAGAGAGACCGTCAAAGCCGTGCCTTCTCTCCCCCACCCGCTCATGCCGAATTTCAGCCTGTGAAGTTCAGAGGGTCTCCCCGCAGGGGCCTGCACAGCCACACCTTCCCTGGTGCCCCGCCCGTGCCTTCGACCTCTGAGGGGCAGAGCATCTGTCATGGCTACTTGGGGAGGCAGCTTCCGGCAGTGGGAGGGGCGTCCTTTTGGGCCCTGGGCCCCTGGGGACAGCGTGTGTTCCTTTCCAGCGGGCGGCGGGACTTCTCAGAGGAGCGGAGAGGGCGGGCTGCAGGGACACTGAGGGGCCAGAGTGCACACCTGAGGACAGGCGGGCGTCTGTCCTCAGGTGGGCACACGGGGTTTAAAAGGCTGGTGGCCTGGTCCGGTTCCTAATCTCCCACCGGGCACGGCTGGTGTCCCTCCTAGGTTGAGGGCCAGGTGCCACCAGGCCAGGGGACGCCTGTCCACTGCGCAGCCCAGCGGGGCCACGTGCTCGGCTGTCTCCCCCACCCCTGCTGTGACTGGTTTTGGAGCTGCGCCTCTGTCCACACGTCTGTCCACGGCAGACAGTGCCAGGGCTCCTCCACCTGCCTGGGCCGGGGGCGGAGGTTCTGGGGACAGAACACTGGGTAGCAGCCCTCTCCCTCCCAGGGCTGCGAGCGCTTCAGGGTCTCGGCTCCTTTCCGAGCCACTTCCTGTGGTCCATGCTCCAGAAATCAGTCCCTCCGGGTCTGGCCCTGTGTTCCGCAGGGGGACCTAGAGCGGAGCCCCTCCCCCTGCAGGTGCCTGCGCCTCCGGGTCCAGGCCGCCCGGGGGTCGGCCGGCAGGGAGCCCTCGGAGCTCCCGTCTCTGCTGTGCGAGCTGGACGACCGCTTGTTGGAGGTCGAGGAGAAGTGTGCCAGCTGCGGCTACAGAGAGAGCTGCGTGGATGTGATGTTGGAGCGGGCGCAGATAAAGAGGCGAGTGGCCTGGGCGGGTGCCCTCCGGGGCTTCTGGAGACCTGACTGCGCGCTCCGCGACTCCCGCTGTCCTCGCTGAGCCCCGGAACTCGGGCCCGTCGCCTGTCCTGGAAGGCCATCCACACGGCCACGTTCCTCCGTCATGCTGTCATCGGCCCCAACCCCGGGGGACACCAGCACTGGGCATCCCCTTGATGTCAGCTCGGCACAGGTGTCCCTGTGGCTGCCCTGCCCCCTCCGTGTCCCCACTGCTTGGTCTCTGCAAACCGAGAGGCATCTCGCCGCCCCCAGCAGCCACCCCGGACACAGCGCTCCTGCCACCCAGTGTTCGTGTGTGGGCCACACACACGTCCGGCCACATCTCACACGTGCAGACACGTGTCACATATCTCCTCTGTCTCCTGCAGGCTGTGGGCCCAGAGCGAGCCGGACGAGGAGCAGCGGGCGGCACGCCAGCTGGAGGCCTACAGCCTGGCCCAGGAGGCCGTGGCGGACGCGGAGCAGCTGCTGCACGGGGCCCGGAGCCTCCTGCCCCTGTCCGAGGTGGGGGTGGGCCTGAGGTGGGGGTGGGCCCGAGGCGCAGCCCCAAGGGGTTGACCGAGGTGTGCGCCCCCCGCAGCCGGACAGCCCTGAACTGGCCACACTCCCTGCAGCCGCTGGGGGCCGTGGGGCCGTGGGGACCCAGGGAGGCTGGCCACTGCCTGAGTGGGGGGGTGCAGCTGGGGATCTGGGGAGAGCGGGCGGCAGGACTTCTCAGACAGAGGAGCGGAGAGGGTGGGCTGCAGGGACACTGAGGGGCCGGAGTGCCCACCTGAGGACAGGCGGGCGTCTGTGGGAGGACGGCCCTGAGGCCCAGCAGGCGTCGCTGCAGGGGGCCCAGCAGAAGCAGTGCCAGCCGGAACAGCCGTGCACTCCAGGAAGGCAGACACGGGGTGGGGGGGGGCGCCAGTGCTGCGGGCCCACCCGGAAAGTCCTCTGAGGAAGATCTGAAGGGACGGACTGACTGTTCCTAGACCACTGCCCCCAAACCACTGTCCCCGACCAAAGCTCGGAAGCTCAGAGGGACACAGGAGCCTTGGTACCCGACAGAACAGGGTGTGTAATGCCCGGAAGCCAATCAAAAGTTTCCAGTCTTTACAGTTTCTGTCTGTAGGAGTTTGCTGGTCTTGGAGTTTAAAAGGCAGGGAAATGTCACCCAGCATAAGGAGGGTGATCTGTCCATCAAAACCAATCCAGCACTAAAGGGCAACTCAGGGATGTTCAAACAGTTGTTACGACTGTTTTCTATCTGTTCAGGCAACAGCGTGGGGGGGGGCTGTTTTTAAAGACCCACGTCCAGCTTCTGGAGACAAAACTGCAGTGTCTGAGCTGGACACGTGACGGCTGGGTCAGCAGCAGATTAGAGGTCACAGAAGAAAAGATCAGAAATAGTAAAGATGGCGGTAGAAACACTCAAAAATTAAACAGGAAAGAGAATAATTTTTAAATGTACAGAACCTGAGCAAGCCGTGGGGCCAAAGTAAGTGCATAGTTGCTCAGGTGGGAAGTACAATAATGAACAAATGACTGTCCGAGAATGAACTCTGCCTTGGGGGAGGGGGGTGTCTCAGCTGTGAGCCCACCTCTCCCCACCCTGGGTCAGCGAGGGAGGGTCCTGACCGCCGAGCTGCCGGGAGTAAGTCAGCGGAAGGCGGGGCTCCGGAGGCTCCCGAGGGACCTGGAACCCAGCAGCCCCGTCCCTGAAAGAAGCTGAGTTTGGAGCTGCAGGTCTTTCCTCAAAGAAAGGGCCCCGTCCCGATGGCTTTGCTGGTGGGCCTGCTGCTCGGAGAAAGAGGGAGGCTGCCAGGCCGGTCGGGGGGACCCGAACGCCGCACGCAGCTCTCGGCACCCGGCTGTGCCACGGGCCCCGCGGGCAGACGCAGACTCCGAACCGTGGCGCGTCAGCAGACGGAGTCTAATAGCTCGTGTGACGTGTAGGGCAGCCGTGTCGGGTCACCCCCGGAAGAGTTTGACATTCAAATGGCGCTCCGTTTGGTTCCCCACATTTAAACAAATTTATACGTCATCTCAGCCGGTCAGAAAAAGCAGTCGATAAACTGCAACACCTACTCCTGGTTTTAAAAAGACTTAGCAAACTATTTTTAAGTATATTTTGTGGATTATGCTATTACAGTTTTCCCGATATTTTCTCTCCCCCGCCCTGCACCCCACCTCCCACCAGCAGTCCCCCCCCAGCTCAGGTCCATGGGTCGTGCATGTAAGTTCTTTGGCTTCTCCACTTCCCATACTATTTTTAACCCCCTGTCTATTTTGTGCCTTCCAATTATGCTTCTTATTCCCCATGCCTTTTCCCCCTCCCCACTGATAACCCTCCATATGATCACAGTTCTGTGATTCTGTTCCTGTTCTAGTGGTTTGCTTAGTTTTTGTTTTTGCTTTTGTTTAAGTCCAGTTGTTGATAGTTGTGAGTTTGTTGTCATTTTACTCTTCATAGTTCTTGATCTTCTGTCCCTTAAATAGTCCCTTTAACATGTCACATAATAAGGGCTGACTCTTAGCAAACTATGACCAGAAGGAAACTTCCTTGCTCCAATCAAAGGCGTCCGAGACAAGACCGGCGTTGACGCCGCCCGGCCCAGCGGTGGGCGGGGGTGCTCCCTGGGCCCGGGCCTCGGCAGGGCGAGTCCTCCTCGCACCGCCTGTACTCAGCAGTGCGGCAGCGTGCACTCCGGCCAACTCAGCCAGGCTGGAGAGGAAGTCAAAGGACCCAGTTTGGAAAGGAAGATGCGGCAACCTCTTCTCTAGCAGATAACGTGGCCTCGAATGTGGACGATCCGCCCTGGTTGCGGTGGCTCAGTGGGCTGAGCGCCAGCCTGCGAGGCAAGGGGTTGCCGGTTCAATTCCCAGGCAGGGTGCACGGTTGCGGGCTGGGGCCTCAGCGGGGGCAGGCAGGAGGTGGTCCGTTGATGTCTCTCTCCCACTCTTCCTCCCTCCTCCTCCCTCTGAAAGTAGATAAACTCAGAAAAAGAAAGAACATCCTGCGCCTTCTACAAAAGAGCGCGCTGAAGCTACTGGTACTAACAAGGGACCTTAGTAAGCTCACAGGTGTTAACTTTATGCACCTGTGCACCACGAACGACCAGACATTGAGTATTTAAAAACAATATCACTTATGGCAGCATAAAAATGAGACCTGACAAAAGCGTGAAAACTTGTACCCTGAGAACCACAAAATAACTGTGCTTATCATGTGGTTTTTAGAGGGGGGGGAGGGAGGAGGAGAGGGAGCGGAACACGAGCGTGCGAGAGACCTGGACGGGCTGCCTCTTTATGTGCCCCCACCTGGGACTGAACCCGGAGCCCAGGCATGTGCCCTGACCAGGATTCAAACCGGCGAGCTTTTACTTTGCGGGATGACCCCCAGCCCACTGAGCCACACTGGTCAGGGCACACAGGACGTTGCTGAGAAAAACTAAAGAGACCTGAGTAAACAGAAGGCTGTGTCAAGTTCACGGGTCACATGGCTTGATAGTATCAAGATGTCACTCCTCCCTTAATTGCCCGAGATCCTTCCCAAAATGACCGTCGCCTTTTCCCCAGAAGCCCGCACGGCCACTGTGGAACGTGCGTGGAATTGCTGGCACCTGACAGTGGCCAACGCAACTTTGAGAAGGGAAGACCAGGCCCAACACTACCCAATTTTAGGATTTATTATAAAACCAGGGACCGCAAGGGTGTGATTCTGGCGTAAAATCAGACACACAGACCAATGGGACTCAGCAGAGCCCCCAGAGCCAGACCCCCACAGAGCCAGAAAGCACCTTTGACAAAGACGTGAGGCCGGTCAGCGAGGAAAGCCTGGTCTCGAACCGGCGGCGCTGGGGCAGCTGGGTGTCGGACACCTAACCCGGAGCTCGCGCCCCACACCACCTGAGCCGTGGACTTGAAGTGAATCGTGGATGTACAGGTAAAACTACTAAACTTCTGGGGGAAAACACCTCTGCAACTTTAGGTTCAGCAAAGATTAACCCACGGCACCGACAGCAAATCGGGGAAGAATAAATCGATGCACTGGGCTTCTGCTCTTTGAAACAGGACTAGGAAGATGAAGACAAGTCGCAGACGGGGAGGAACCATTTGCAAATCGTGTCTCCGACAGAGGTCTCACATACACAAATCGTGAAAACCTCGCAAGAAACAGCTGAATAAAAAATGGGCATGTTTGAACTTTCTCTAAAAAAAAGCAAACAAAAACGTGGATGGTAAACAATTGTGTGAAAAGACAACAGGCTTGTTGGTGAATCAGAGAAACGCAAATTCTAAGTGTGACAGAACCTCCACTTCCTGCGTGGATGGAGGACCGGGAAGCCACGCGGCCTGCACAGCAGTGGCTGGGAAATGCGCTGCTTCTCCGAAAACCAAGTGGCCCGCTGCACCGCCAGCCACCCCTGCCCCGGAATTTGCCCCCAAGAGGGGAACACATGCATCCCCACGCAGACGTCCAGTCGTAACGAGTGGACCGGAGCCGGGTGGACGCGCAGCCTGGCCCGTCTGCTTGGCGGTTGGAGGAACACGCAGCCCTGTGACAGCTGAGCCAGACGGACTGGACGCAGGGGGTCCGCGTCACGTGCGCCCATTTCCAGAACCTCCTGGAAGCGCAGACTCAAGGAGGCCCTTCCGGAGATGGTGGGAGGGAGAGTGAGGGCATGGCTGCCGTTTTCTGTGGGGCTGTGGCTGCAAGGTGTCCCCTACAAGAGACACAGTGAGGTGTCAGGGGCGCCCCATCCAAGCGATTCCGAGGGGCTCGGAGCCTCGGCAGAAGCTCCTGGGGTTCTGACCGAGTCCCCACATGTGCCCGGCGCAGGGTGTGAACACGCCTCTGATGCGGAAGCTGGCTCGCCTCAAGCTGACCCTGGTAGAGGTGGCCCTGGACACGCTGCAGCTGGCGCGGGAGCAACCGCTGGAGCGGCAGCTGGGGCAGGGCTCCCTGGACAAGCTGCTGGCCGACTTCCTGCACAGCTCCACTGACTACACCTCCACAGGCCTGGTAACCGCCCCTGCGTGGCCTGGGCACGGCTGGGGGGGCTCTGCCGGGGGGGGGCGGCACTTGGGGGGCCAGGTTCACATGCATGCCCCCCGAGATCTCTGCCCCTGGAACCCCCACTGCCCCCCACTGAAGCTGACTGGCTGATGAAACCAGGTCCCGTCGGGACGGCTGCTGAGCCCTCTCAGCTCTCCCTTCGGTCTCGCGACTGCTCTGACGACCATGTCCACGTGTGAAAGAGCCCACGATGCGAATTGCATTTTGTTTAAAAAATAAGTTGAGTTTGCAGAACGCTCGTTCCAAAGGACACATTCTGCCATTTTAGACATTTTTAGTGCCCTGCATCAGGAATCAAGTTGACCGGACAGAACTGTGGATCAGACAGCCCTGACTCCGGGCTGTGGCTCAGGCACATCACTGAGCCCTTGGCTGAGGTCGTGCAAGCAAACGTCAGTGGCCCTCCCGTAGCCTAAACCCTGGAGACTGCTCCCAAGCTGGAGGGGCGCGTCTCAGGAGGGCCTCCTGTCCCCATTCCCAGGGTCTTGAGGGGTGGATGGGGGCACTAGAGGAAGAGGCAGGGCCTGCTGCGTCTTGGGGGCAGGGCGAGCCCCTGACGCTGTTTGCATTGCAGCAGTGGCCCACCCTGCGGCGCACCCTGGCCCACGTGGTGCTGGCCCAGCTGGGGAGCCTGCAGCCGCTGAGTGCTGGCTGCGTGGAGATCCGTGCGCGGCTGCTGGGCCTAGCGGGGAAGGCCCTGCACCTGCTGGCCCTGCGGACGGACCCGGTGCCCCCCACCTCCTACTGGCAGGAGGGCCTCCTGGTAGGTGCCCTGGCTGCTCACCAAGCCGCTGCCTGTGTTTCGGCAACGACGACAAAGCCTTCCTCCCGCACCTGGTCTCAGAACCAGCCTGCAAGTTGGCCTCAGTCTGTCCCCAGTTAGGGAGAATGGTGTGGCCGCAGCAGGGGAGAAAGGGCAAGAAGTAGTCTTGCCAGGTCTCTGGGGACAGAGGCCAGATGCAGAGAGGGGACTGCTGCAGGTCCAGGTGGATGGAGGCCCCTGCTGTGGCACCAACATGGCCCTCCCGAGAGGGGCTGTCCGGGAAACGTGTGCTCAATCCCAGGTGGCCGGGCCCAGCTCTTTCCCAGCCCTGCTTCCTCTTGCCCCTCCCTGCCATGACTCCACAGACCAGGGCTCCCGCCTCAGCCCCTAGTCCCCAGAGTAGGCGGGCGCATGGCTCACTGGCTTAGGCTGCCCAACACTGCAGAGCGCTGGTGGGGGTGGGGGTGTTGAGTCTGCAGGGCTGAAGTGAGCACAGCGCTCCGCGGAGGGACGCCTTAGCTCGAGCCGTACCCCCAGCTACTCCCCTCCGGCTGCACTTGCAGGCCACGTCCTCCTGCTACAGGCTCCTGCACAGACGCCCGACCCGCAGGCAATGCTGGGCGGGGCGCTCTTCGCCCCAAGTGCCGCTGACAGGAGGTGTGTCCCCTAGGTGGGCAAAGAGTCGAGCAGCCTCAGGTGTGTGCAGATCTTCCGGGAGAATGGGGACGGGCGGCGGCAGCGCGGCAGCAGCCACCGGGCCCTCAGGAAGGCCCCAGGAGAGCAGGAGCGCCGGCAAGGCTCCGATCTGAAGGTACCGCTGCGCCCTTCCGCCCCGCCAACCGTGCGCGCCCGCTCCGCCCTGGAGCCAGCCTGAGCCCGCGCTTGCGCCCGCCCGCAGAGGAGGAAGGCGCTGGCCCGACGGTACCTGGCCCAGGCGTCGGAGGTGCTGCTGCAGAGCCTGCAGGTCGCCCTGGGCAACGGGCTCCTGGATGTGGCGTCAGACGCCAGCCTGCAGACAGTGGAGTGTGTTGGCGTGCTGGACCCAGAGGCCGCCTGCCAGTTCCTGGCGCTGTCCCAGGTGCGGCTCCGTACTCGGGCGTCCGCGGAGGGGGGCGCCCTCGAAGAAGGAGGAGCATCCTCCAGGGCCCCCGTGAGCCCCAGCCCCACTCAACCATGCCCCGGGGACCCCTCTCGCACCTGTTCCAGAGCTGCTCCGCCTCGGAGACGATGCGGAGCGTGCTACTCGCTGCCATGGCCGACACCGGCAGCTCGCAGCCCGCGGCCCTGCTGCAGCTCCAGCGCAGGCTGAAGCTCCAGGAGCACACCTCCGCCCGCCTGCTCGCCGGCGTGGAGCAGCGGCTGGCCGCCGTATCCAAGGTGAGCGGCTGGGGAGCCCTCCAAACTCGCCCAGCGCCGCAACCTCGCAGCTCGTCTGATGAGAGAGCAGAAGCCGTGCATCCGAGCAGTCGGCTCACGCGCGTCGGCGGGCACGCAGGGAGGGCGGTGGCGGGGCGCCCTGAGTTCCTCAGATCGGTCCGTGCCCTGGGCTGTGGGGTCGACCCCCAGCCTCTGGAGGCCACGCGCCTAGGGAGAGGGGCAGGCCGGTGTGTGCGCACAAGGCTGTGCGTGGAGGCGGAGCCGCGGGCGGCAGGCAGTGCGGCTGTCGGTCCTGAGCAGGTGCGCGCCGGGCCGCAAACTCCCCGCCCCGGGACTCTGCGTGCTCTGCTGCCCCCATGTGGCGGCCTCGAGTTCTGCAGGCTGCACCCTGAGGCCCCAGCGGCCGGCCCGCGCCTGTTCAATCCCTGCGACCCGCCCCTCACCCTCCGAGCCCACGGATCCCCGTTTGTCATCCAGGCTTGGCAGAATCTCCAGGTCACGGAACAACACTTTAACCTGTTGAGTGAGGTTCCTCCCGCTTTTCGGATCCTCTTTCTGCACCACTCCCCTGACAGGTGAGTCCTGCCCGTCAGTGCGCCTGCTCCCCCCACAGCAGGCCGGCGGCGGCCAAGTGCCTCCTCCTGTCCGTGGGGCCCGGGGCGTCTGCCCGGAAGGTCGCCAGACCTGTGGGGCAGGCCCGTCAGCTTGTCCGCAGAGGAGGCAGCTGGTGGGGACCCCCGGACATTTAGCTGTGCTGGGTGGTGTGCGCACAGACCTGGTTTAACTACAGCTTGACCTGGCCACAGCGCGGTGGGGTGGGGGCTCCTGTTGGGGGTGTACGTGGGTCACAGCATCTGTATCTTTGGGGCCACCCTGGGGCCCCACCCTGCACCCCATCCGCAGGACCCAGCTGTACGGCGCTTCCTACGAGATACCCAGGCCCATCCCCGGGGCCAAAGGGAAGGCGTTCCAAGTGGGGGGTGAGTTCCTGCAGCAGGTCTTCCTGGATGCAGGGCACGCCCCTGACCTAGAGACACAAGTCCACCCCCGAAGTCTGGTTTGGGACGGCTCAGAGCAGGCCAGCCCCAGCACCCAGCATGGTGGCAGCCAGTCTGAGCTCCAGCCACAGCCACGCTGGCCCACGGTCACCACGGCTCCTCGAGAGCCGTCACACTGGTGGCGGGACCCGCTGTCCTTCTTCAGTGGACACCCCGCTTCCCCCTCGTGCCCAGGCCCCTAATTCTGCCTGCGCCTTGCTCAGCACCTGCCGGAGGCTCCGGGACCCCAGAACTACTGTCTCCTCAGGACCTTCAGCTGTTTGCACCTGAAACTCATCCCCAGGGACCTTGGGTTCTGTCCTCGGCCAGGACCGGAGCCTTGGGGCAGCCCCCCGCCCCTGGTCCCAGAGGACTGGCCCCTTGCAGCGTCTGCAGCCTCGGCCCATTTCAAATGCCGAGTTTCTGTTTTCTCTTCTTTTCCCAGCCATCCAGGACCCCTGCCCTCCCGGCCCACCCTCCCGCCTGATGGGGCTGGTCCCCCCACCCTGGGCCTGGCCAGGCTCCCAGGCTGTCCGCAGGGTTGGCCTCCCGGGGGGCAAGCCTGGTGGGGAAGCCCTGTGCCCGCAGTCTGCTAGTGAATCCCGAGGCTTCACGCACCAGGGTATGTCCGTGAGGCCATCAACCAGGAGACAGTGGTGTTGTCCGACTCTACAGGCTTCTACAAGGCAGCCCGAGTGGCCGTGAGCCCTGACACCTTCTCTGGCCTGCTGGCCAGCGCCCAGCAGTTCTGGGAGCAGACCCAGGCGGAAGTGGGCCGTGAGGCCATGGCCCTTAAACCCGGCCTGGTGAGGCTTCAGGCCCGCAGCCCTGCTGTCGGGAAGGCAGGGCGGGGAAAGCCGGGTGAGGGGCGCCGGCCCACAGGACCCCAGGCCCTGCTGGACTCCCAGGCCGGCCTCCCTGCTAGACCAGGCAGGCGGGTGTGCTGCCCAGCTGGGCCCTGGACACCGGCTGTTTCCAGGAGGAGCCTTTCCCTGCGGGGTCTCCACATGGTGGGGTCCCTGGCACCCTCTGATCGCGGGCTGTCTGGGTTGGACAGGAAGCAGGCGGTGTGCACCCCGAGATGCAGGGGAGCCTTCTCCCAAGACTCGGCGACGTGCTGGCGGCCACCGAGGAGTACCTGCGCCCGCTGCTCCCACTGCTCCGAGGCTCCGAGGCCAGGTCCCTGTGCTGGGCTGTTTCTCCCGTTTAGGGGCCAGAGCTCTGCACGCCCCAGGGAGCCCAGTGACGGGTGGGGGAGGGAGGGAGGCCCTGGCCCGAGCGGGAGTGCACACAGCCTGTTGGTGCGCATGCACCTGCGAACGCCAGCCTGCGTCTGCCATTGGGAAGTCCTGCTTCTGCCTACAGTCTTTCTGAACCCCCACCTCTCAGGCCCCTCTGGTAGTCTGTGGGGGTGGAGGGCAGCAGGGGGAAAGGCTGGCCCTTTGATGTATTTCTGGGAGCCAAGCAGGCAGAGGGGTTGGGCCTGGGACTTCCTGGACTGGCCCGTTGGTCAGTGAGGGACCTGAGCCCGTTGGCTGGCGCCGTGCCAGAGGCTGGTCTCCGAATGGGAGCAGAGAGGCAGGTCTGCAGCGCTCACTGTGCTAATGGGCAACGGTCCAAAGCGATGGGCTTGAGGTTGCTGGTTTGTGTGATGTTTGTGTATTTTTAATATCTGCTTGTGTGCCTTTGACATTCAGAATACAGATTCCCGTGGCCACTATGGATCTGGGGAAACCAAAGGGCAAAGACAAGGATCGGAAGCTGTCCCTGTCGCCCCAGGGTGAGTGACCGCTACGGGGAGGCAGCTGGGCCGGAGCCATGAGAGCGCCCTGGTCCCTGATGGAGCAGGAGCTGAGCTGGGACTCGCCCGGACCCCTGACCCCTGATTGCCGAGGGGCACCAGGAACAGGCTCTGGGGACTGCGGGCCGAGCTTCTCTGGGGTGCCGAGTGCCACTGGTGCCTGGGAAGGTCCCAGAAGGGGGTGTCCCCGCCACTTCCAGTCACAGCCCGCATGCAGAGGTCAGCTCCTGGACAGCCCAGTGACTGGTGGCCGTCACAGACGGGAAGCGGCATGAGGCGTGGGCTAATCCCTCCTGGGGCCTGACTTCACAAACGGCTCTTTTTAAAGGCTTTTCAATTATCCGCTGTTCTCCCTGGCAAAAGCTTGGTGAGTGGAGGGAAACGCCCAGTCGCTCTGTCAGAGAACTTTGGCTCCTGAAAGTGCTGGGCAGTGCCCTCCTCGACTGAGTGCTCAGAGCCGAGGCCCTGGGTGCCCACAGGGGCCCGTGCACCAGGCAGAGGGTGGTGGCCCAAGAAGACAAGTCACGCTTCCCACGCCTGTGCGGAGGCCAGGGTGTGACTTCCCGAGGTCACCTTTGTATGGAGGTTCTGCCCTGAAAGGTCCTGGGACCCAGATGGGCGCAGCTGTGCTCGGGGCCCGGAGGGCTGAGGTCGCCTGGTCCATGCTGTGCAGTGTGTGCTGGGAGGAGCGGGTGTCCCCTAACGGGAAGCAGGGGTCCCCGCTGGGCCCTCCGAGGACACCTGGTCACCTGGAGAAGCCCTTCCTCTGAAAGATCCTCTCAGGGCCGTCCCCAGGGCCTGTGACCCCTCCGAGGCCCCTGGGGAGGAGGGGCTTGTGCAGGGAAGGCGGCTCCCAGGTCAGACGGAGCCGAGTCACTCCAGGGCCTGCCTCAGGGAGGGGCCGCCCACGCCGGGGCTGCCTCAGAGCCACCCAGGACCCCGGTCCCGGGACGGGGCCTGTTGACACCTCCACACCAGGGTCTTGGGCACGTCCTGGGGCCAGACAGCCGATGGCGGCCGGGTGGGCCGTGCCGCAGCGGGTATCCGGCCCTGGCCCGCAGCTGCCGCTCCCCCGCCCGCAGCCCTGCCCGAGGCCGCCGACACCGTGGTCCTCCTGGTGGACAGGCCCCTCCTGGAGCTGCCCCTGGAGGGCCTGTCGGCCTTCAGGGAAGGCTCGGTCTCCGCCCTGTCGCGGGACTTCTCCCTCCAGATGCTGTGCAACCGTCTGCGCCGGGACGAGGCAGGTGAGAGGCTGACTGCGCGTCGTGGGATGGGACTGCCTGTGTCTGTGGTACGAGACCGGGGCCCGAGGTCGAAAGCAGTGACGAGGAAGGTGCAGGCGGAGGGGGGTGTGTGTCCAGGGCTCCGCCGGGAATGTTCTGGCCTCACAAACCTGTGTGGCCAGGCCCGGGTGGCCCCCCAGCTGGGGCTGGGTGTGCGGGCGAGCGGCCCGTGGGGGTTGGGTCCACGCCGGGCATGGCGCCCACACGAACACTGCACCTGGTACGTGCTGAGTCAAAGTGAATTTACCCTTCCGCCCAAAACGGAAAAACCCAGGCAAGATACGTGAAATAGTAGTTTTCAGGGGTTGAGGACCAGGCGGCGGGGACCACGGTCCCTGGGGGAGGGGCCAGGCAAAGCCTCACGATCCCCCCGGCGAGGGCCTGCGGGCCCACAGGGGCAAGGTCTGCAGGGGGTTCCTGCATCTTCAGCTGGGAGCTGGGCAGTACAGGGTGTGAGGAACCCCCCACAGCCAAGGACAGAGCCGTCCAGGGCAGTGGACGCAGGCCCGGTTGCACATTCAGGGTTCCAGCGGGAGGGGGAGCGTTAGAACCCACGAGTCTCAGGTGCGGCGGCTGGAGGCACATCCCGTAATAGAGAGACTGGGCTGCAGGCGACCTGCCTGTCCCCGGGTGGCTGAGCCTTGTCCCAAAGAACACTCGGAGCACACACGGGAATGACAGCCTCAGCTCCCAACAGGGAGAAATTCAAAACAGCCGACAGTCCACGCACAGCGACCAGCACAAGAAAAAGTGGAGAACCGTGACCCCCGAGTGGCCCCAGCGAGCAGCCCGGGTGGGGCAGCGGCCAGTTCCCCACTTTCGGTGAAGCTCACCCCACGGACCCGGGAGACGAAAGGGACCCAAACATGAGAAAGAGAGAGAACTGCCCTGGGGACCGGGCAGGCGGTCGGGGACACGTTGGCGGAATGAAGACTTCCTCAGAGACGGGACCGTCCGCCCGGAGGCCCGGCTGCGAGGCTGTTCCTCAGGCAGAAAAACTGGCGCGAGGGAACCACGAGGGAGGGCAGGCAGACGTTCACAACGGTCCTTTCTAGAAATCTCCTTAGAAGACTCGCAGTTTGGGGCAAAAAAAATAGCAGTGTGTTGTGGGGTTTACGGTGCGTGGACGGAACCGGCCGGCGGCGTGATCGGTCGGGGGGGGGGGCGCGGGGTCGGGAGTCACCGGGCTGCGCGCCCTGGTGCCGCACCCTGAGGGCGGGGACTGAGACCTCCAAGGAGGAACAGACGCCGCAGCAGGTGACGCGAGTCGAGTCGTGGAAAGGACTCGTCAATCCAACAAAGGCGGGAACAGAGGGCGAGGGGACAAAGGTCGGACGGACAGACGCAGAGGGAGCGGCAGCTTCCAACCAAGTTCCGTCGGCCGGGGGACCCCCAGTCGCGGGCAGAGACCCGCTGTGTGGGCGCCGTACGGAGACCCGTTTAAACCAGGGGACAGTGATGGGGTTTGGTCACGGGCGGAAAAGACAGGCCACACATCCGGTCCCCTGCAGGGCTGCCTCTGTGCGTGTCCCCAGCAAAGGGTCTCCCCCTTGAAACATCCATGTTGGAAAAGGACTCGGCTGGCAGCGCTGTCAGCAAGCGTCGATTAGGGAGTTAGAGCAGAGTGTCCCAGAGCACTCGGGGACGGGCTACCGTAAGTGCCTGAGCCCTCACAGAAGAGACACGGAGGCAAAAGTGGCTGAAAGAACAGTTGGGATGAGGTGGCGAACCGCACCTCAGTGCCTCCAACGCGAGGGACAGACGGCAGCTCGTGGGGCCCTGCAGCCGGGGACAGCGAGGGGCCGCCCAGCGCAGGGCAGGCAGGTCGCTGGACGGGCCCGGGGCCCAGGCCCCACCCGGCTGGGAGCCTTGACATGTGAGATGCTCCTGTCGTTTGGACGTCAGAGAACTGAGAGCGAACGGCCCTCCCCATCCTGGCTCCTCGCTGAGGTGCAGCCCACGGGAGGTCAGAGCAACCCTCTCAGACGGCGCGGCGAGCGGCGGGTGCCCCTCTGCGGACAGCTGCCACGGCGCCCTGTGCCGGCCCTCTTCCTCCACGGTGGCACCTCTTCTTTCTTTGTCTCCAACAGACAGCACAGGGACAAAGGACGCGAAAGGCAAAGAGTTCAAGAAGCGAGGCCCTGCGAAGAGGGGCCAGAAGGTGGGTGGGCGAGGCCCCAGCAGCCGAGGGCCGAGGGCCTGGGACCACGGGAGGCGGGCCCCCGACCGTTCGTCGTCTGCCGCCGCAGGGCACCGCGCCCCGGGCCATCCCCTCCAGCTGCATCACCGTGGACTCAGACAATTTCAAGTGTATCCTTTGTGGGCCCCGCCCGCCGCCCCCGACCCAGGCCGGACGTGCTGGTTCTCCTTAACCCCGGCCCAGTCACCGTGGACCCCCACGAGGAGGCCCAGGGCCCAGGTGAGTGGGCCAGCTCGGGCGCCGACTCCTGCAGGAAGTCCCGTGACGGTGGGGCCTCCCAGGGCGCGGGCGCCGCCCACCCCCACCGGCCTCTCTGCGCTCCCGGTGTCCGGCTCCGTGGCCCATCAGTCTCCCCGAGGCGGGGGGAGACCCCGCCACCACACGTGCGTCCTCATTCCGTTCCCCTTGCAGAGACGCTGACTCCTGTCTCCGTGACCCGGGAGATTCTGGAGAAGTTCAAAGACACCTTCACCGCACGCTGGTCGGGGCACCTGGGCAAAAAGCCCTTCCCCAGGTGCGCCTGGGCCCGGGGGGCCACGCGTGGCAGGGACGGCGGGTGTCCCCCGCGAGGGGGCTGCTGCCCTCAGTCTCCTCCGGCCTCCCTCCCCACCTGCCCCTCCCGCCTGAACCCCCGTTCTGCCTGGTGACCCCGGCCTGTGTCCCCCACACACCGGCCTCCGAGGTGCCCGGGTCAGGGTGTCCTCGTCCTCGTCCGCCATTCACAGAGGAGGCCCCGGGCGCCCGGGCCGGCACTGCCCAGGGTCCTGCGGCCAGACCAGCGGGCCTGCCCTGTGCTGCCCTTGGGGCCTGGGCCTGCCGGGGTCGGGTGTCCGTTTAGCACGTCCCAGAGACAGAGCCTAGCGGGCAGGGTCCCTTCCAGGGAGAGCGGACGGGGGCAGGGACCACGTAGGGGTGTTCTCTCTGAGGGCGTGTCCTGAGCGTGCGTCACCCTGAGGACATCAGGGCCCACTCGGTCCTCCACCTGTCCTCCCGCACCTGCCTGCCCCGCCCACCGAGCCCCCTCCCTACCAGCCAGGCCCAGTGGGAGCAGGCCCTGGGCAGCTGTGCGGGCTTCTTCTTCTACGGGATGGAGCGCTTCCTGTCGCACCTGTCGGTGGAGCGGCTGGCTGCCATGAACCTACACGGTGAGCGGGGCCTCTCGGTGGCCGGCAACCTTGTGGTCATCAGAGCAGGGATCTCCCTCAGGAGTCGGCCGCCAGACGCGGGTGCGGCAGGGCCAAGGGACAGCCTCTCACCCCCCGCCACCTCCCAGATGCCCCGGTGCAGACTCCAGGCCCCGTGGACCAGCCAGGGCTGCGGTTGGGGCGTCCCCCACTCGGCCGGCAGAGGCCAGGGAGGCGGGGTTGTGTACACAGGGTGATGGCCACCACCCCTCCCCACTGGTCCCTTCATCCGAATTTCTGGGCATAGAGGAGGCCCTGCCCCCACCAGGACACCATGCAGGTGGCTGGCAGCATCTGCGGGGGCCCCAAGGGTGCCCTCCTCTGTGAAGTGGGACGGCCAGCAAAGCCCAGGAACGGTGCCAGGTCATAGGCGCCGCGGGGCAGCGGCGCGGCCGGGTTTCCGCTGTGCCCCCCAAGGCCCCTCTGCGGACAGCTGGCGGGGGTGCCAAAGTCCAGCTGGCCAAGCCCCCGTGGGGAGTGGGGTGCCCTGCACGCCCACGATGACTTGCATCCTGGGCACTGGCCCCTGTGTCCGTGGTCGCTGGGGGCCAAGGAGACGCCCAGGCTGCTGTGGCGTGCTGGGAGCAAGACTCCTCACGGGGCGGCCATGCTGTGGCCCCGTTGCACGGGGCAGCTGTCCGGGGTGTGGGGCTCAGGGCAGGACGGATGTCCCCGAGTGCCTGTGCAGCTGGCGGGTCCCAGGAAAGGGTCTGCAGATAAAGCCCGAGCTGCAGACAGACTGGGCTGCGTCTCTGGCCCACTGTGTCCCACAGACTGCCAGCTGATGGTCCTGCTGGACCTGAGCCGGTCCCATGAGAGCCTGCGGCGGACCATGGAGTCCTCGGAGCACAAGAGGTGCCCAGCAGCCCACGCTGGGCTGTGGGGGCGGGGGGTAGGAGCGATGGGCGGGCCCCCTGGGCAGTGGCGGCAGAGCCCCTGCTGACAGTGGGCAGGGCCCGAGGAGGGGCTGGGCCTCCACGACCTGCCCCCACCCACCCTGCAGCCCGCACATCCCCCCCGTGGCCTCGCCGCCCAGGGCATGACCGGGAGTGGGGCCGGCAGCAGGGTGGGGGCAGGGCACGCACCCCCCGGGCCTCGGTGGGTGGCTCTGACGGTGGAGCAGGGACCCCCTTGTGGTGGGGAGGGCCCTGAAGTGCCCTTGCTGGGGAAGCTCCTGACGTCCAGGGCGATGATTTAAGGGCTCTCAGTCCAGCCGCCGTCCCAGCCCCGGTGCCACCTGGGCTGAGCGCGGCGTGGGCTCTGTCCCACGGAGCCCCGTCCCCGGCAGCGCCCGGGAAACGTCCGTGGAAGCGCCCATCGAGGCCGCCGTCCTGCTGAGCCTGGCGGGGGTCCGAAGCGTCCTGGCCAACCAGTGGTGGACGCCCCTGCAGGACAACGCGCTGCGGGCCCGAATCCTGTGGGAGAGTGAGTGACACCCTGGGGCCCCCTGACGCCCACTGGGGGTCCCTGCCCATCTGAGGTGGAGCTTCCCCCCCAGATCTGCTGACTGTCGGTAAGCCGGTTGGGAAAGCGGTCCGTCTCCTCCAGACGATGGAAGCGGAGGAAGTGGTCGGCTACGGTAAGGAGAGGCCGTCCCCGTCCCTGTGCAGGAGGACGAGCCGCAGGGGGAGGGGCGGTGAGTGAATGAGTGAGTGAACCTGTGGGGGAACGTGAGCGAACCGGCTGCACCAGGTTCCCGGGTCCTGGGGACCAAAACAGCGGACGGGGGGACGCGGGAACCTCCGGCTTTGCTGGGGAAGAGCAGCCAGCAGGTGGCAGTTCTGGGGCAGAGGAGGGCACCTGCGCCCCACTGTGGTGCAGTGTGGGCACTGTCACATGAAGGGACCAGAATGGGGTGGCAGCTGGCTGGCAACGGGAGGAGGCCCTGAGCTCACGGAAGCCCCCGGCTTCCGCGTCCCCAGCTGTGAGGGACCACAGCAGCGTCCACCCGGGGGCACCCTCCTCCTGCCCACCCAGGCAGGCAGCCGTGGCTGGGGCCCCAGCCGTGCAGCCGGCTGAGCCTGCCGTCCCCTCCCTCAGATGAGGCTCTGCAGACCTCCAAGGACAGGGTGCCGCCCCGCCGAGCGCCGGGTGGCCCCGACTGGCTGTCCGTCAGCCTCAACCTGGTGCTGTACGGGCTGCCGCACCAGGCCATCGTGTGACCCTGGCTGTTCGCCCCTGGGGCGCCCTTCTCCGGGGGCCTCCCGCTGAGCGGGCTGCCCCCGCCTCCCCCCATCACCGTAGACCCTCTCGGGGGGGCTGCCTGCTCTGCAGCCCCCCTGCACGTGGGACCATCAGGGAAGGGGCCAGGCGGACGGGTGGTGTGAGGGCCACACCAGGGGCGGACCCCTGCTGCCTGGACCTCGGGTGCACCTTCCCCCTGGGCCGGCTGAGGGGTGGTCTCTACCTCCCACAAGCCCCTGGAGGGGGTGAGCTGAGTCCCAGACGGGAAGCCCTGCTGGGCTCCTTTGCGTCCTGTGTGAGCCCTTCAATAAACGATGTGTCCCAGCCTCTGACCTCTGCGTGTGGTTTCTGGGGCCAAGATGCTCAGGAGGCGTGGCCTGGGCACAGCTCTGGGGCCTGGGAGCCGTGACACTGGCGCCTGCTCCCACCTCCCAGCTCAGGGGCAGGGCCGGGCCGTGAGGGACGATTCCCAGCCTCCCCCAGGGCCCCCCACTGGGTGGGTGGGGGCTTGGCTCACACTTGGGCCAAGGAGGGGACAGGCCAGCCACGAGATGTAAGTGCTGCTGCTTTCGCCGGTGGCGGGAGGCTGGCTGTAGTGCTGGTCCCTGAGGGCTGGTAGGGTGTCCTGGTGGGGCTGTGTCTTCAGATGGGGCTGGAGATGAGAAGCCCAGGGTGGCAGAACCCGGGGGGGGGGCATGCACGGCAGGTGACATGGGCGCCTGGCTCCGTGGCTTTGTCCACCTGCCTTCCCCAGCTTCGGGAGGAGGTGATGGGTGGAATGGTGACTAGAGGAAGGCCAGGCCCATGTCCACCCTCCACCCCCCTGCTGGCCCTTGACCTTGGCACATTGGTCCCACGCTGGGGACCCGCTCTCCGCGGGGCCTGGCAGGACTCGATGGGGTGCCCACTCTCTCCAAACGTCTCCGGTCTGGACTGGCCGCCCTGGGTCTCCAGCCCTGTGGCAGGTCCCATGGGCCCTGAAAGGGCGTGTGCAGGGGAGGAGCTGGGGGTGTGGGCTGGGCCGAGCGGGAGGAGCCAGCAAGTGGGAGGGGGCGGGGCCTCATAGCCCCTGAATCAGGGACGCAAGATTGACGTCACTGGGGGCCCCGCTGAGGCCACCTGTCCTGCCTGCTGACTGCTGTCCTGTTCTCTACGGTGGGGTTGTCACCAATGACTGAGTGCCAAGCACTTGGGGGGACGCCATGTCCCTGCCTGCCTCACCGGGAGACACCTTGGCCTCTTAGCACCTGGCAGCCACCCAAGGGCCAGATGATGCCAAGCCAAGGGGCCGCTGGCACCTCCCGCCTGTGGGCTGGGGGACCTGGGAGCTGAGTGGATGGGTGGCGGCACCAGGACCAGGGACCCCCCGCCCCGGCCCGGCACGCTCTGCCGAACGAGAGACAGCTGCCGAACCTGCTCAGGTAGCTGAACCGGAAACCGCCGGTGTGGACATCAAAGAAGGCCCCTGGGCATGTGGCTGGGGCGAGGCCGGCTGGGAGCCCCCTGGAGGCTGCAGTGGGCATGCGACCAGGCTGGGGCACGTCGGGCATGGACCCCGGGGGAGTGCACACCTGTGTTCACACAATCGCCTGCATGAGTGTGCGTGGCAGCTTCATCCTGTCACAGCAAAAACCAGAGACCACCCGCACGAGTCACATCCCCCTGTCCTGGACGAGGGGACCAGTGCTGACCCCTGCGGACTCGAGGGCGCCATGCCCGGTGGAGAGGCAGTGTGGCCGGCCGAGTGCCGTGTGGCCCACGGCTCCCATGTGCGCCGAGGGCCAGCCCGCAGACGCCGTGGGCAGAGGGCAGGGGCTGAGAACAGGAGCGAGGGAGCCTTGGGGTGACCGGCCAGTTCTGAGTGCTGGCTGCGGCAGCAACACGGGTCTCTAAGGAGATCACACAGCAGGGAGCTGCCTGCACACACATGCCCACACACACGCGCACACTGCCTGTACCCCGGGGGGCCAACGGGGCACACTGTGTGGCCGCTGGGCCCGTGTGCCGCCGGCTGTCCCCCGGAGGCCGCCCCGGCTCCCTGCACTGCTTGCATGTTCCTCTGAGTCTGTGATCAACTCGGTTAAAAGCTTTTAAAGCTCATCTTTGATAACATCGAAAAGCAGAGATGCCCGTTACTGTTGGATTCTTTTTTTCCTTTTTCCAAACACATACTCTTCCCATTTTTTTTTTTTTTAAGTTAACTAATGACCAGGAATAAATCTAGAGCAGAGCGGCGCTGGAAATGCGTGCGGGCTTCCCGGGCGCGGTGCTGGCAGGCGCCCAGACCTGGGGGAAGAGCTTCGGGAGATATTTCACCGGCGCTCTCGGCTCCTGCCCCGCGCCTGCTCGCTCGCACATGAGTCCCGGTGGCGCTAAAATAACTTTCTGAATTATGTCCCAGCAACATAACAAATCACATTATCAATTAACTCCTACAACAGAAGTGGCTTTCTGTAATAGATCCAAGCGTGGAAAATTACGTGGGTGAAATTTATGTAACCCTAAAAACTAAGGAGAAGAAAGATCACTTCGGATTTATTGGTCCTAACAGGGACGGCTTTGGTTCGCACGGCGGGGGCCCTCGGAGGCAGGGAGACGCTGTCTTCGCGTAGGGACTCATCCCAGGAAGGACAGAGGCTGGTGTGGGAGGGAGGACTGTCCCTCTGGTCCCCACTGAGCTCTGTGACCTTGAGCTTCATCCCCTCTGACCCGGGACTGCCCCTTGCTGGGGCCTGACCTCACCCACTCCTGGACCCTCAGGCCCAGGCCCAGGAGACGTCCTGTTCACGGGGGTGCAGCCCGACCTGTGAGGTCTTGCTCGCCAATCACCTTTGTAAAAGTTTGACTTGTTTTCTTAATTGTCTTGAAAACAGTGATTTCCGTATTTGAAAAATAAAGAGTGTTTTTAACAATATGTTTCATTTGTAGAAAATCTGGAAAATAACGGGCTGGTGTGGCTCACTAGACTGAACACTGGCTCGCCAGTGGGAAGGTCGCGGTTGATTCCGAGTCAGGGCTCAGGCCTGGGTTGGGGCTGTGTCTCTGGTTGGGGCGCATGAGAGGCAACCCCACAGTGATGCTTCTCTCCCTCCCTTCCCCTCTCTCTAAAAATAAAGAAATAACATCTTTAAGGAAAAAAAAAGTTGGGAAAACAAAGCCCTTTCGGCCAACGGCAACAGTTGGCGTTGGACCGGTCTCTCCTCCTCCCGCCTTCCGACGCGCGAGCTCCACCGGCGTCTGAACAAGTCCCGGTGTCTCCACTTACCTCGCTAGAAATTTCCCATTTCAGGACTTTGAAGCCAGAAGCCTCGTGTGAAGGATCCCTCTGCCCCAGCAGGCGGCCCGCACACACCGAGCCCCCCCACCCCCGCACACGGGCTGTGGGAGCTGCGGGGGCCCCCCTGCCTGGCAAGCCGACTGATGTCCCTGATCACCTGCATGGCCACCCCCGCCGCCTGTCCACCTGGGCCTGGGCACCTGGGCCTCCCTTGTGTCCTGGCTTACTTCACAGTCACAGCTTAAACAGGCTCCAGATTGATTTGGATTCAGAAATTAGGTGGGTTAATAAACTAAACCGTTCACATCCCCTTGTATATAAATTTCTATTAAGTTCCCTTATCTAACACTGGTCTCTAATAGTTTAACTTCTGCATTAAATAATTAAATCTCTATTTTCAGTTGCTGTGAGCAATTGTTTTCCTTAATGATCTTTCTGGAGGAGCCAGTAATTTTATATCTTGTAAAAGTGATTTACTGGCATCATTATCCCATATCCCTGAAATATGGCCGGGCGGCTCAGCAAAAGGCCGTCTGCATTCGATTAATGCTCCTCGAGTTGGACTCGGAGGGGCTCCGCACGCCCGGCCGGCCTCTCATTTTATCGTGACGATGATGAAGATGGAAACCACCTGCTTAATTGTCCCATTTCCAACAGGGAAATCAATTTGCAACACGTCTCCACCCTTAGAAAAAGGACAAGATGGGGAGGCGGCGAGAGGCTCCCGGGAGGGGCAGGCGGCGTTGCGAAGCGGGGTGCGCACAGCCCCCGGCTCCGCCCACACGCCCCGTCCTTTCCCTGCCCGCTGGTCAGCCCGCCCCCTCCAAGCACAGGGCAGCCCTGGGGTCCTAAGGGGCCTCTGGTGGCTCCTGCATCGAGGGTTTGGGGGGGCGACCCGCAGGGACCAGCCCACTCAGGCTCTTGCTCCCCCTGTGGCAGGTCCCCAAGGTCGGCCTGGCTCACTGGACTCACAGGGACATCAGCCGTTTAGCTAATTCGACTGGGAAAGTGAGGGGTCCTGGGGGGTCTTCACTCAGCCCCTCACTTTCGTCAGGGCAACTCAGGACGCGCCCTGCCTGCCACTCCGTCACGCGGTGGGCATCGTGGGCCAGGGCGATCTAAGTGTTTAACGTTTTGTCACAGCTCATTGAGACCAGAGGGAGGTAACAGATTGACACTGACCTGTTGGTCATTGGCCTGGAGGGAGCTGATGGGCCAAATCGCAGGGGGCTCTTCCCTCTTCCCCTTACGGATGTTAATTCTGTGTGACAGGAGGCGAGAGGGGGCGATAAGATAATGCGGTGGGGGCAGCTGTCCTCTGCTGGGCACCCAGGGATCGGGGTGTCCTCCCCAGACTTCCGGGCACCCCCTGAGACCGGGCTGGGGTCTGGGGGCATTGGAAGGATCCAGGACCATTCTGCCTGTGACCTCACCCAGGAAACACCCCCTTTGAAATGAAGGTCAGGGCCCCCCGAAGGTGAGCTGTGCTGAACCCCCCATCCCCTGAGCTGGCTGCGTGCCCTGAGGTGGCGGCTGGGGGCGTCCCGAGTGCATTCCTGTGGCATCTTCGTCGGCTCCTGGGCCGGGTGTCCCGGTGGCCACATGCATCCCCTGCCTGTGTGCTTCTTATTCGTGACCTGCCCCGTTCTTCCCTTTCCGTCACTAATTCTAGTTCTCTGTGTAACAGGAACACGGGCTTTTTCTGCCACAGGCATCGAAAGCTTGCTCCCGCCTTCCAGGCCCTGCCAGCTCTCATTCACAGTGGGCTCCCTCACCGTGAGACTCGTTCAGGCTTTTTCCTGGCAGCCACGTGACTGTTTTTGCGTCTCGTGCTGGAGCTGGGAGG